AATTGCTCACAAACCTATATTTTCCCTCAGCTGCAGTCTGAGCAACTCTATTGCTGGCTTTCTGAAAGAAGGGCGTACGAGATGCATATCATCATAACAGAGCAATCTACCGCAGGGAGAGAGACAAGCGATCTCTTTCTTAATCAAATGTTGATGAACACATGTATCCACACACATGCACACATGTAGACACAATTATGCACACATGTACCCAACAGCCGTGCATGCACACGTACACACACATAACCACCCACACACACCCTTGGAAGAAGACACTCACACTTCGCCCCCATAGAGTACATGTCAGTCCATCTGGGATCATTAACACTATGTTAATGAATATAGGGCTGGGGCATGTGAGGAGAGAGAGAATGAGATAGATACAGAAAGAAATGAGGAGAGAGAGAGAGAGATAAAGAGGACAGAAGGTGGGAGGATGGAGGAGGATAATGGATTCTCTCCCAGCAAATGCACTGCCTGAGGTACTTTTTTTTTGGGGGGGGGGCATGGATAAGAAAAGACTGAAAGGGGGGTGGGTAGCGAGAAGGAAACCGGACCACGATGGTGGGTAGTACGAACTGAAAGGGAGCAATTGAGCATACAACAGAGTAAGGGGAGGATGCTCAAGAGCTTGTCAATGTAAAGTAATCAGGGTGATATGTACCCAGTATGTTGTGGCCAGGGGCTGATGAGGGCTCTGTAGAAATAACTGAACAGATGAACAGACGCATGGGAAGAAAGGAAAGACAGCAGAGACAACAGATGAGCCGAGAGAACAGGCAGGGGGACAGACAAGGAGATACAGTATAACAAATGATGGCAGAGGCAATGCAAGCTGACTAGCGTGGTTAAATATTTCACTGGGACTTGCTTGTGCTTTTGTGTGCTGGTGTGTGTGCGTGTGTGTGTGCGTGCGTGTGTGTGTGAGTGTGTGTGTGTGCGTGGGCGTCAGAGTGAGAGTCCATGGGAGAAAGAAAGGAGGACAGAGCGGCAGGGACGAGTAAAGTGTGCCTATTGACTGGGCGAGTTAATGAATCCTGTGGTCTGAATAGTGAGACAGTGTCCAGGAGGGAGGGAGGAGGCTCATTTACCCCCCACAGACATACACATGCGACATTGTTTTAGTTTGTTCGCATGCGTGTCCGTGACTTGCTTTGATACACTGTTAGCTTACGTGTTGCACGTTTACTAACAGCTCAGCCTCATTGGTGACTTTCCAGAAGATGCTCAGAGCAGAAATACCATGTCATTATGAGTTTGTCTTTGCAAGAATCACTATACTGCCCCCCTGCCGGGCTAAATCTATACACATGGAGCGCTATTAAGCAGAAGTGTGCCTCCCTGTGTTTGAATTGGGGACCACCTGTATGCAGATGAATGAGTGTGAATAGGGGCTGGGAGACATGCCTTTGTGGTGTCAGAGAAGGAGCAGCTTGTCGGAGTGTGTCGCTATGAGCCAGAGGGCCAAGGGCCCGCAGGAGGCCGGGGAAAAAGGGACAGAGGGCAGCAGGGTGACAAGCTGTCCATGTGTAGATGAAACAATGCCAAGTGTTAACAAGCCTAAGCTAGCGGTAATGACAGAGGTTGGGTGAACAAAAGGCAACTGTTTGAAATGCAATCTGTGATCAACAGTCAATATGGAGCATATTACAGTAATTTATCCCCTCTAAGCCCCTTTATACCCTTGTCATTGTATAATAATGTTGATCATCCATATGACCTTTTTTTTCTAGTGTCAACTAAGGTGATTCTCTGTGGGAGAGGACAGGGAGGGGAGGAACAAATGGCACATCAGTATCTGAGGCTTGAGGGCACAAAGAGTGATGACGTGATAAAACCAGGACAAAAAAACAGGCAGAAATGTGATCAACAGGATAACATCTCGCGTTGTCTAATAGAGACAGCAGCAGGGATTGAAGCACTCCTACACATCTTTAAACTCCAATAAAAACCTGTGCAAGCACCTGCCTATGTTTGGACAGATGTGTACAGTCATCTGAACAGCTACGAAGCAGTTTGTCTACCATCCCAGTTTTGTCCTTGTTATGTTTCTGTGTGGCTGACGCCCAGTGTTTCCAGTGTCTTTCATCTGTAACACTCTGCTTCACAAAGTTTCACTCCACCTCGTTTTGATTTATTCTCTACTCTCTATTAAACACCACAGCTTCATATTCCTCTGTGTGTCAGGAAACCCCTCCAAATCTAGAGACAGAGATCCCTGACCAGCTCTGATCCCTGCCTGAGGCCGGCAGGATGAGTGTGGAAGTGAAAGAGAAAAGCAAGACTGAAAATTTAATAGGCTGAGGGGACTTTCTCCCACATATCTTAACTCTTCTTATCAAAACATTTATTCTAGCTGGGCTGGTACTATTCTTCTTGCTTCTGACACCATCTGTTTTTGTTTTATAGATCTCTCCACTCCCCAAAACTCTACACGTTCCTCTACAATAAAAATTGCATTTGCTACGGTTGAGAGAGTAGAGAAGAGAAAATCAGGCATTACCAGTTCCAGTTAGCTCTGCACACTCTCTATGTTTTCTTTAACTTAATTGCGCAAGTTATGTAATTGTGGAATTTCCATAGCATGTTGAACAACTTGTGGCAGATACTGTGACGCCTGGAGACAAGTCCCTAGGAAATAAACAAGCCTATTTCCATTTGCTGAAAGGTTTGTATGGCTGTCAGGTCTTCCCCCGACTTCCTTTAATCCACTTTTAGAACTGTTGAGCTTTCCATCGTCTCTAACGCTTTTTCTGTGAATTTCTTTTTTAAGCCATCACGTTTTCTCTGCTTTACTGTCATTCGCAGAAGCCATGGTCTTCCCTCACTGAGTGTATCTGTGTGAGCCTGTATGGGCTGTGGGAGGATTAAGTCTCACTCTGGGAGTCATCCACAGTTTCAACTAGCTACAACACTATCATAAGAGCCTGCAGAGAAGACTTAAATGTTAGCTTGCACACATATTTCTCTGTGTGTTTGTGTAGGCATACATGTATGTGATGGTTGAGCCCAGCCATCGGACTCTTGGCTGCAGCAGCAGAGAAAAAGTGTATTTGTGAGTTGTGAATTTCTAAATTTGTGTTTCTGTCTTGCTACACGGTTGGTATGTTAGATGAACGCATCATGAGGAGATCCCATGTTTGAGCAGCGGAAGTTTGCTGGCAAGGAGGGACACTGACAGTCACTCACTTGTGATGTGTATGAGCAGGAGGATCCTGTTGCTGGTAGTCTGAAGCCTGTGAATCACTGGCTAGTTTTGCTGCAACAGTATTTGCATTTCAGTCATTCCTTAGAGGAAATCAATACATGCGTTTAAAGCTGTTTCTAATGTCAATAGAGCTAAGTGAAAGACGTGGGGTATTACAGGAATAGACACTGGTGTATGTGAAATTATCCAGAGGTTTTTGCACAAGGAGAATTTGTCATGAGCTGGAATTTTTAATTGCATTGTCAGAAATTGTTAAATAGACCACTTGTAGCCATCACACATTACCGTTACCTCTCTTCCTCCTCATTTTCCCGTCATTTTTGGGGGGGAGACATTATACAATGGAAAAGCACCCTCAGCCGTGATTAGTCCCCCAATGCCTACTGGATCTACAGACAGTGTGTGTGTGTGTGTGTGTGTGTGTGTGTGTGTGTGTGTGTGTGTGTGTGATCCTCTCAGAGTGCCAGAACGTGTGTGTGCTTGCCCAGCCAAGCCTAGGGACAGTCAGACACTCAGCTTGTCTGCACATATAAACACACACACACACACACACACACACACACACACACACACACACACACACACACACACACACACACACACACACACACACACACACAACATGCACACACAATGCCCCCTCCTCTTTCCCTGCAGCTATCAGCTATGGAGCTCTGAACCAGCTAACCCAGGCTGGGCTCCATCTCTGCCCAAGGGAAGCCCTCTCCTGCTGGGGCCACAATCCCACTGACACCCTATGGTCTGGACTTTATCCACTCCATCTGTGAGGTTGTTTTGTGAAGTCACCTGTCTGGGGAAGTGGTTAAGCGGAGACCACAAGATTAGACTGACTGATAAGGCAGTAATAATTCTTTATTATCTGACAGAGCATAATCAGCACTCCAACGTGCCTAGACAACAACAGGCTGCAAGAACATACACACCTCCTATACACAGGGGTCTCAGATGATTGAAACACAACCAGTGGGGCAACCAGAGCCAACATCTCCTTAGTAAACTAACCAGTCTTGGCAGCATTAGTGCAGCAACATACTTACAGCTCAGTTTCAACAACAACAAACGCTGTAAACAATGCAATTTAGCACAATACATAATGTACAAGTTGACAAAGAGCATAAGAACGCATAATAACAACCCAACAACTCAAAGCAATGCAAAGAGTTGCAACATACAGTACGTCACAAAGCAATGCAACACAGACCAACAGCAACATATTACAGTGTTACAACACAACAACATAAAAAAACAACAGATACAAATATAACAGAATGGATGTAGGAGTTCACCTAAATTATTCATTTAAATGATCAATTTCCCCTTTAAATAATAATACTGAATACTTCCATTGCCACTGCTATTTTTATATTCAGATTATGTTATGTTATTATGGTATGGTAGATATTAGCTTATATTCTTTTTATTTATTTTATTTATGTTGAGCTGATTTCACTAGATTCTAATTAAGTCCCTCTTGAATCTTAAAATAACCAATTGCCCTGTCGAGAGCGAATGTTTGAGTGTTTCAGCCCTGTTTTTGTCTTTTTGTTGTTCATAATTTTTCTTATCTTATCACCCTAATTCAAATTTAACTTATATTTGTTTATTATACCTCTAAGGTGATATAATAGTCCTAGTAAAGTTGTTTTTGCGTTCGGTGTAGTGGGAGCAGCTGGAGGGAGCGTCTCCAGTGACTGTGCGGGTCTTTGCTCCTATTGGTTGGCGGTGCAGCGAGGGGTGGGGCCACTCCCAGACAAAACAGACAAGTTGCGCCCTCGGAGAACCAGTCAGGAGTTGAAACAGTGTTTGGTGAACTGCATCCCTTTAAACTGTCTTCAGTAGTACACCAGACGCGTAAAAGCCACGATTGGTTTCCGTGCGCGTATTTACGCATTTAAATCTTCAACAACAGAAGCATCTTTTTAATTACCGTTGACTAACAGAACTTGGTCAGCTTCCTGTGGAGAAGAAGAGCTATGGATTTTGTGCATCTGGTTTGTTTGGCGCTGAGCATCGGTGCTTGGTTCGCCTCTGCGGAGAGACACAGCGTCTACTGGAACAGCTCAAACCCACAGTAAGTGCTGATCTGTTGTGCAGTACATGTTGTGTGTGTATAAGTGTGTGTGTATTTTTACCTGCAGTGCGGGGAGTTGTCTAATGTGTGAGTATGTGTAAAGGTTAAAATCACTCACTGCTTTATCCATGTGACTGTTTGTATGTCCTGCTGTCTCTAGTGGCGAGTGGATGTGATTTCCTACTTTGTTAAAATCTCACACTCTCTCTGCCTGCGCTCTTTAACCCGGCTACAACTAAGCCTGTTGTTTTCATTCATGTGACAGTTAAAGGCTCATGTGACGTTCAAAGTCGGGCATGTGTAGTCCACCTTTTTAAACTCACCTAACAGGATAGTGATCAGGTTGTTAGACTACACGGCTCGCAGCGGGGTTGTAGAGAATCAGGAGATTGCGAGCGGGTGCCCAGACAGATGGACAGATTCCCCACTATATTTAACCGCAACACACAGACACAGACATACTCTAATAGTAGAAAATAGACTGACAAGTATGAACTTGGCCAGTGGAGCTGTCTGTAGGGTCTGCACCTGTGTGTGTGTGTGTGTGTGTGTGTGTGTGTGTGTGTGTGTAATGGAAAGTCTATAAATGTGAATGAATCAGTGGGTTAATTTAATGAGTTTTATACAGATACCATATCAGTGTGTGTGTGTGTGTGTGTGTGTGTGTGTGTGTGTGTGTGCACAGAGAGAGGCGCATATTGCTGATTATTTTGTTTTGAGGTCAGAAATGTAATGCTACCCGGCCACTCAGTTGAATCGATGGAGCTTGACAGACGCGCAATATCGCAGCGCGATTTATTGAGCTTTTAGCGTGGAGCGAGTGATCCCGATGCATGAAAGACAGTATTATTTTATAAACGAGCTGAAACAGAAGGACAGGTCCCCCCGCTTCTCTGCTGCCGAGATGGGTCGATTAAAATCCCCCAACAAGGGCAAAAGCCATTATAGCCTTTTAGTCTTGTCTTGATTACATTATTGGCTCTCTAATTGCCCTTTAAGAATGACAATAGACGCAGGGGCTAAAAAAGAGCACTGCAACAATGAAAACAATTGTCCTGATAATTGGATAAGGTGTCTAATGGAAAGTCCTGTCCTCATGAGCAGTGCTTGTGTCATGGGTTAGTCCATGTGTGACTCAACGCCTGGGTTTGACCCACCTGAGTTTTACACCTGAGTCACCACAGACAAGAGGTGAGGAACTCTGGTTCAGGTTGAGACAGAAAAGAAACTATCCAGAGGGAAATGTGTCCTTTTTTTGGTGTGGATAAAGCAGGAAACTGGAGCTCCAAGTTTTAGTTCAAATAGGAAGGCTGGTAGAGACAAAAAGAAGGAAAAAAAAAAAAAAGAGAGAGAGAGAGAGAGATGGGGGTGGTCTAATAGTCAGATTTTATGTCTGCTGTCTCTAATCCAGCCCTGGACTATTTTCTGCTGTCAAATGGGAGTTGTATAACCAGAAGAAAAACCATAATATAACACTAATCCCTTTTTGCTACATGGCTAAACATAGACCCCGACACAGACAGACATAAACTTCACTCTACACAACAACACATCACAAAAATGTGGCTATTCTGCTTGTTTTATATCTGTAAAACTTCCGGTTTCTCTCACACACACATGCACACACTCACACACTCAAGAGGTACAGGCAAAGTTTCTCTGAATGACAGCTACAGAAATTTGTATCAGGAGGATAATGGCAGCTAAAAGCCTAAATGAAACCATAATCGGCTGACCTCTACATGCCACTTGAACAATATTCTTTGCCACATTTTACACTCTGATCTCCATTACTCCTCTATAATCCCTCACCCCCTCTATAATGCCTCTCTCTCTCTCACTTGTTTGTCTCATCCTCTCTTTTCTATCATCTCTATTGTGTCTTCTGGTTTTCCAGCGTTGACTAAAAGCCCACCTGCCCCCCGAACCAACCCCGGTGATCAATCAGTCACCTGTTTTGGGGATTACATTGATCCATCAGCGGGCTTTGACAGCAGCATGCTGTGTATAATTGATGCTAATTGATTCTTGGTCTGATTATGAGCAGCAGTGATTTGTCTTATAGGTGGAGGACAGTGACCAGATGGCAGCAGTCTGCCCATTCATGTTGGGGAGTAGATAAATGTGAAGCAGCTTAAGAGTGTGTGTGTGTGTGTGTGTGTGTGTGTGTGTGTGTGTGTGTGTGTGTGTGTGTGTGTGTGTGTGTGTGTGTGTGTGTGTGTGTGTGTGTGTGTGTGTGTGTGTGTGTGTGTGTTTTCTCTAAACACAGTGTATGTGTTTGATTTTCACCAACTTCTCAGTGTGACTTAATGATTAGAGCTTTATCCCACACATCAAGTCCTTGTAGGGATTTGAGTGTGTTTGTGTGTGTTTGTACAGTTTTCCTCCATGACAGGTGGAGAGGCATGTTTTTCCCCGTCTGGTCCAGTCTTGTTTTCACAGTTCGTGTCTCTGCCTGTGTCAGTTATATGAGCCTGTGTGTGTGTGTGTGTGTGTGTGTGTGAGAGAGAGAGAGAGAGAGAGAGAGAGAGAGAGATTGAACTTGTGCTGCCCTTTACCAGCTCTTAACGGGAAGTGATTTTGTTTTTGTTGTGGACTGAAAGTACGTGATTGTCAGTGTGTGTGTGTGTGTGTGTGTGTGTGTGTGTGTGTGTGTGTGTGTGTGTGTGTGTGTGTGTGTGTGTGTGTGTGCCCCAACGTCAGAGTAAAGTAAGGAGTGGCCATTACCGTAGGCAGACTTACCGAGACTTGATAAATGTGTGACTCACGCTTACACACACTGGGGGGCGAGAGGGAGGACTTGGATGTTAATATTAGCTACAGCCAGCATTCCACCCCGCTGTTACTATACTCAACTCTGTCAGCTGTGTGTGTGTGTGTGTGTATGTATGTATGTATGTATGTATGAGATTCTCTCACTGTACCTGTCTGCTCCTCTCCCCATCTTCACTCCTTTCACTCTCTTTAACAGCTGGGTCTCCTCCCAGACTGGCCGCTGGCCCTGAGCCCTCCATCTCTCTTTTTCGCTCTCCTTACTGATTCAAGATCTCTTTTCTGCACAGATGTGGATACTATTAACACAGCACTCCACAGCCTCCTTTATATCCGCTATCTCTCTATATCCGCTGTTATTTGGCTGCTTTCATCCGTCAAGACTAGACTGGGTTTATTTGCCATGCTCCCAGTATCTGTGCAAATATCTCTATCATAAGTTTAGTGTAAGGTAATATTCTGTTTATCTCCGTTTGTGTCTGGCTCCGTCTGCCGTTTGCTGTTATTGAAGCCGTCCGGGCCTGCCTCAACACGTACATGTGGCCTAGAGGATGAGTTTGGGGTGACGGGGGTTGATGTCTCAACCGCTCCCCTGTCCTTTAACCCACACATTTTATACATTGTATTTCCTCTATCTGTCTCTCTTTCCACTCATTATTTACCCCTCCCCAGCCCATGTCCCGTCTGGTTGTTGGCCTCTAATCTCACAAGAATGAGAACACTCACACACAGGCACACGCACACGCACACGCACACGCACGCACACACACACACACACACACACACACACACACACAGACACACAGACACACAGACACACAGACTAACATAGATTACAGACGGCTTGTAATCTGACCATCTGACCCATAGACACAAAACCATCAACCTCCTGGCTTCATTCTATATTTATGCCTATGTCATCCTGTGATGTAACTTGTGTCTGTTTTATTATGTTATGGCCTCTATAGTCTGAATGTGTGTGTATCTGGGTAGGTGGGTTATTGTGTAACTGTTACGATATATATACGTTGCTTAATAAACCTATAGTTGTCACAGTGGATAATTCCTGCCATAATCTCCCAGATGGGATCCATACTACATCATCAGTACAATCAATTACAAGCACCACAGGACATCTCTATTTATCTCGCTATGCAACATTTAATATCAGAAGGCTTTGTGTGTATTCCCTGCTGATATAACTGTCCTCTTACCTAACACACTTGTGTACACACATACTTTCACGCACCATAGCACACAGGAGTAGCTGAGAATTTCATAAACTGCCGTATATGTTATATCTGTGGTTCAGCCCCCCCCCCCATTACAGTATCCATGTACCTCTGTTTTCTCTCGGCTCTTCCTCTCTCTTCCTTATCTATGGTCCAGACTTCCTCCCCCTCCCTCCATCAGTCCCCCTCTTTTCTCACAGACCTTCCTCTGTTTTTGCCCCAGTAGTTTTCCACCGGAGGAGGACAGAGCACCTCTCAGCCCTGGCTGTGCTAACATTAGAGAGGCCTGCTTTTGCCGAGCGTTATCGTAGTATGTGTGGCCAAGCATACGTGTGTGTGTATGTGTACACTGCTCATTCATAGCATTTCAGGCATAGTTTTGCATTGCTGTCCACTCATAGCCCACCATCGCCCTCTAAAGGGCAGAATTAGCAATATATTGGACGGACGGACTTCTGAGGATGGTTTTTGTTATGCGTCACTTAATTCAAAACTTTTTATAAATTAGAAAAGATGAATATCTTGTGTAAAGTCGTTTAAGTTACTCAGCTTGTTCCCTCTCTCTCGCTCAGCTAGACAGACAGACACAGGCTCACAGATTAACTCTCCATGACCCCCCAACATATTAAACCAAGCATGATACCATTTGGCCTTCTTCTATTCATCATAGACAGAATGGGAGGCTACAATAAGGGGAGACCGGGTGAAAAGATTTTGGGGGCAGAGAGGAGGAGGAGCAGGGTGCAGGGTGAGACAAGGGTGAACTGGAGAAAGAGGTTTGTGTTGAGAAATTAGCCTGGATGAAGAGCGCTGGTATATTATGTCAGCGTTAAGAGACAGGACAAAATAGAGGATAGGGTGAGGGGGGATGGGCTGATTTTGGAAGAATAAAGGAGAGGCAGACGGAGGGTGGAGAGAGTGGACAGTGATGGATGAAGGGAGGGGAGAAGTTTTGAATTGAATGAAGTGAGAAACGGCAGTGTTGACAATTTAAAAGCTCTCATCGTGCAATGGGATTCTCAGTGTCTTAACTATGTCATGCATAAGCACACAGGGATTTGCAATAAGTGGATACAGAGTTGAGTGTTGGATTTATAGTCCAAGTTGAGGCAGAAGATTGTATTGGTGCAGAGTACAGAAAGAATTCCCACTGGGTTTCTTATTGCAAGACAATGAGATAGAGGAAGAATGAAGGTAGATTACATTGTAAGCTAATATAGAATGACCTTTTGGTGTATATTAGATTGGCTATAATGGAGTATCCCACTAGTGAGCAGCTAAACCCATTAGACCCACTGACAGCTCCTTGGCCCGTGTAGAAGAGGTGTGAATCTGCCATACCACAGCAAATTAATAGGGTATTAGGTGTACACCTCAAAGTAAAAGTGTGTGAGAGTGCAACTGGAAATTTGATGAGTGCACATAGTAAACCATCCAAACCGCAGCCCCCCGTTGTGACATTCCAGCGCGTGCACACTTACTACTGATTACCTGCAGAGCAAATGGTGGGGGGGTGCATCTGTTTAGTGTTTCAGTGGTGCTGACTCGCTCTTTGAATGTGTTGTGTGTGTGAAACAAACATCTTCAGTGCTGACTCAGATGGTAGTGTGTGTGAGAAATTGCGACCCTGAACTTTAATCCCTTGACCTGGGCTGCCAGTTTGAAACACTCCCCAGAGGGGGACAGTGAGAGACAGAGTTCCTGCGTCAGTTGTTTGACCGTAACCAGGGAGAGCCCAGGGGACAAATGGGAGGGACAGCAGCGAGGTTGTCGGGGGGGAGGAAAGAGGGATGACAGGAAAAGAGAAAAGGGAAAAGGTGGTAGACAAGGACAATGGCAAGACTTCAAAGCCAAAGTGAGGAGGCCAAGTGTTGAATAACTCACCTACTGTCATAACTACCAGTATATGGCTATTTTACTATTTTATACCCTTATAAAAAACACATATGCATGCACACACACACACACACACACACACACACACACAGACACACAGAGGCCACTGACGCAAAAGCTGGAGTAGCTCTGTAGTGAGAAATGACCTTTTTGCGGCAGAGAGAAAGATCCACTACAGGCACCTTCAAACCTCGCTGTTTACCCACACCTCAGTCACATGCAAAAAAAAAAAAAAAAACACGCACACTCAAACACACAAGAGGCTTCAATAGGCCTTAATAAACAGATGTGCTCATGAGCCCGGGGCATGAGACGCCCTGAATAAGGGTCTTCAGAGAATCCCTCTCCCATGAATGCACACACACACACACACACACACACACACACACACACACACACACACACACACACACACACACACACACACACACACAAACGAACAAACACACGGGGAGATGAAGCTGTTTGGAAAGTAGGTCTGCAACAACTCACACACCTGGTTCTCACTCTCACATACGACATAGCTATCGCGTTAATGCGACTCTCACTCTCCCGAGAACTGTCAGTCAGAGGCGATGGCAGATACGAGAGTCTCCAGGAGCAGACAGCTTTTGATGGGTGACGCGTACAGTAGAGAGCACAGGGAGGATGGAGGGACAGGACCAGAGAAAGACACAGATTTTGTGCTGCGGAACTCAACAGGAATTTTCAGGCTAGAGTTTTCTCTGTTCTTTGACTTGTGGTCGCATAAAGATACCACAAATTCACAGCAAAAAAAAGGCTAATTCAAGCTTAAATGACTGGACAACTCAAACACAACTGTGAAACCACTAAAGACACACTCACAGTCACATGAGCACACATATAACGCACATCCACACTAGTCAGGGTAGTGAAAGCTCCACAGGGGTTAAGGTACAGGGGTTGAAGGGGCCCTGTAGCCTTCAGGCACTCTGTCTTTGGGGAGGGAAAGGGTATAATTACACCCCATTCATTCCCCCTCCCCTCCTTTTCTAGGGAACACATTGGCCCAGACCCCTAACAGCTTTTAATTAGCCAGACCAATGGAGGCGGGGGGGGGGATGAGGAGGTGAAGAGAAGGATAAAAGGAGAGTTTTCTTAAAAGAATGAATCGTGAATGACATTAGCAACAGAATCTGTTTTGTTGGCTTTTGACAAGCCTCTGTTTTCATGCGGAGGTCGGCCAGGCCACTAACAAGGGCACAGTGTGGGAAAAAGGTGAATTTAAACTATTCTTTACTTCAGAGGCAGTAGCTAGAGATCTCCAAGCCCCTTGTTTTCTCCAACCATGTTATTACTGATCTGACTCAAAGAAAACAGAGCAGAGAGGAACAAGATGAGAGTAGAGATTATTTAGCCAATTAGACGCCTACAGGCTGTGTCTCCTTTCCTTTTCGCTGAAACACTTCCCCTTGAAAACACACACAAACAAAGGCGTGCACACCTGCACAGGAGTGTACACACTTACAAAGGACCTTTTCTGAGAGAGCAGTGATTGCAAGTGGAGGGAGGTGATCAGCCTGTTAGCCCTGGATAACAAGTGTAGAGCTGTGCTCAGCTAACAAAGCATGTTTTGACAGGTAGGTTAGCCCTAACCGACACACACACACACACACACACACACACACACACACACACACACACAGGCAGGAAGGAGGGGTTAGAGGCCCACATTTGGAGCCACTATGTCTGTGACTTGGCCAGGGGATCCTAACAGGAGCCACAACAACAGAAGTGGGGGGTCAGCGTCACCACGTCCCGTGCTTTGATGTGGGGGGCACACACACGTACAGAACACATAAACAATGGCAGACACACAGGAGCTGTTTTCATGTCACTTTCACTCTCTACAACACGTCAAACATAAACAGTCTTCAGTTTAAGCACAGACTAAATTTGAAGATTAGAGGCTGTCACGCCTCAGGATGTAATGGGAGTAAGACGCGAATATCAGTCTTTCTTCACCTCCTGGCTTTTGGCTGATCTCACATCACTCGCAATATGCCAGCCAGCCGCACATCACATGTTGTGACAGAGCACGGCCTCACCTCCTGCATCATGTTTGCTTTAAAGGAAAGACCTATTACTTACGCGAAACTGAAATTGAAGACACTAGGTTAGAGTTCATGAAATTACTCACTGAATAGTAGCTACTTATTAACCATAAGCAAAAGTTTGACTAAGGTGAAGATTTAACTGCTTTTCTACTGAACATCATCACAGCACAGATTTTTCACTATTTCGCTGTACTTCATTAGGACACGTGGATAGGAAGGGAGCCAAGAGGAGATGGGAAGAAGGCTCAAAAAGAGCCATAAAACTAAATGAAGGGTAAAGATGAAAAGAGAGAAAGAGAGCGACAGTCTGACTGTCTCCACCCACTCTGTCTCTGTCTTTGATGAAATCAGACAGAAATTGAGAGACGGGTAGAGGCGGCAAATTAGCGTGAGGAGCTTCAACACAGATAGACAAACAACCAGAAACTGGAAAACAGTTTTAAAAAATACTAAAACAGAAAGAGTCACTGAGTTGTGCACATGTAAAAGTTGACTAGCAGTAAAGGTGAAAAGAGAGATTGTGGGGCTGTTTCTTGTAAGCAGGTGATGGTGAATTTCTGCTCAAGGCAAAACAAGGGCAGAAAGCAGGAAGGAAGGTGTGTGTGTGAGTGGGTTGGTGTTAGGGCTTTATGAGATTCTAGGTGTGTTTTCTCCTCCATAAACAAAGTGAACAAGCCCAGCCTGATCAGGCTCTTTCTAATTCTGTCACAGTGACTGGTTTGCACAAGTACACCGTAACACGTCAACACAAACATCCTCACATGGTACCTGAATTCCACCAAAGTAGCTGAACCTGTGTGTTAACATGCATTATTGTGTGAGTAAGTCTGTTTTCTGTTGCTGTGCGTGTCTGTGTGTGATTAGCCCTCATTAGTATTCTTAACACGAATGTTGAATGGGCCGAGCTGTCAGGGTGTGAGTTGAACGGACTGTCTGTTATTCGTTGTTCCCTATTGAGAGGAAAAAAATGCTGAAAATGAAGACATTTGTCAGTAACCTCCTCTCTTCCTGTCTCTTTGCAGCTTCCTGTGGGATGAGTACACAGTGGAAGTGCGCATCAACGACTATCTGGACATCATCTGCCCCCACTACACCCACGGCGAGGTGTCATCGCATGCAGCTGAGCGCTATGTGCTGTACATGGTGGAGAAGGAGGACTACGACGTGTGTAAACCTCACTCCTTTGACCAGCTCCGTTGGGAGTGCTCGCGGCCGTTCGCTCCCCACGCTCCCGAGAAATTCTCTGAGAAATTCCAGCGTTTTACTCCCTTCACCCTGGGCAAGGAGTTCAAACAGGGAGAGAGCTATTATTATATCTGTAAGTATCAATAATAACGCTGGCATTTTTTATCAACATGTTGTGATCCTGAGAAGTTTTCCTGTATTAAACTTTTCTCTATTCTCTTTTCACAGCCAAGCCAATGCATCACCATGGCCAGGACTGTCTTAGGCTGAGAGTGGATGTTGTCGGGCATAAAGGCTCTGAAAAGACCCAGCCCAAGGTGTCACCCAAGGCAGATGATACCAGAAAAAGCATTGATGGAGGAAAAGGATTTTTTCCTGCTGTTGGAGGAGTTCACAACCCATCTAACCGGCTCCCAGCAGGTGAGGATTCAAGTTAATGACAGCAGCTCCATGTCTGAGAGGAGCTCAGCTGGGTGTGTTTACCATGAAGGAATGGTAAGAACCAATACTAATTCTCCCTCCCTTTCCTTTCCTCAGATGACCCTGCTGTGATGGAGCCAAAGGTTCAGAGGAGTATCGGAAGTTCAGGAGCACAGCTGGTCTCCTTTCCGCTCTTCTTTACAATGATCCCAGTCTTAATAGCCCTGATGCTCCACTAAGGATGACGGAGATGCCATTAGCAGAGACAATTCTAATCCAATGCTGGTCATTGGGACCATGAACACTCAGAGACTTTTTTTATATCAATTTTTTTTTTTATACGAGCATGGACAGCGTTGTTGGTGTGTGTTTGTGTGTTTGTTTGCGTGAATGTGGAGCGTGGATCGTTCCAAAGAAGAGGACCTCAAAGATTCTTTTTTTAATTACTTTATTGTGAGGATGGGCATTCCTATTTTGACCATTTAAGATGCATACTTTTTCCAGTCATAATGAACAAAACTGCAAACGAATTGGTCAAAATATTGAATTGAAAATGACAAGGGGATTACATTGTCTTTCAAATTGTCATACCATTGGTACAGATTTGCATTGTACTCCTCATCTCCAACTGTTAATGTAATTTATCTTCTTCTACGTGTGGAGAAATTATTAATTCTGTGTCTTGAAAACTGTTTTCAGCTACTGCCAAATTGGTATACATTATGTAGGATTTTTGTCTTTTTTTTTTGTTGTTGTGTAGCACTCAGCTCCCTGTTATATCTCTTTAGTCTCTGTAAAAGCACCACTGTCACATTAACACCGATACAAAAGCAGACACTTTGATTCAGGTGCTGCAGTTTAAATTAACATCACTAGAAGTTTCACACAAGACAACAAATGGTCTAATCCAGACCTGCGGTTCTCAACCTTCTTTTCTCCTTTTTTGGCTCATGAGCCTTTTAAAGTAATGCCTACTGCTGCTCATGCAGATTAAACAGTAATTTATATATTTTATATTTGGTAATGTAATTCAGAAGAAATGCACCCAAATTAATTTGGATCCTAGAAATATATATTCATTTTTGTGTGTGTGTACGTGTGTGAATGTTCACTCCTCTTTTATATTATATATACATACATCCATATTCTCATAAGGTTGAGAGCCACTGATCAAAAGAACAAAACAGATACACTAACAGGGGTTTTAGGGAGCTGAGCTTCATCCGTACTTATGGTTGTTCTCATTTCTACTGTCTCAACAGTATCATGGTACACTGGCTCATGTGCAGATGTGATCCCACTCATACACTGTCAAACCTCAAACTGAAGGGACTTCCCAGAATACAATTGTTTTCTTGTTAAACATGCTTGTGTCATTTTGTAAGTGTTTATATGTAAATTTGTATATAGAGAAAACTATAAAACTGTTTTAAGATGTGAAAAAACTGCAGAGAAATAAAAAAAATTTGATGTTATAACATTTTCTGTCTGGTTTTTATCAGCTCTAGTAGAATTTATTTTTGCACTAAACTACATTGGATCTTGAAATCCCACTGACGTCACTGAGATTTTGATGGATGACTCAATATTTTGGCAAAGCTATCCATCTCCTGTCCGATGAAATCTCTCCAGCACCCTCAACATTTCCAACTCCATGTCTTTCCCAGCCTCTATTTCTCATCCCCTCTTCTCTGCCTTCTCCGTCTTTCATCCCTGGTGACATCGCTTGCTCTGGCTTAGATTTCACAGCCTAAAAACCAAACACGAGAGCCGAGAGGGGCACGATGAAGGAGTGAAAAGACGGGATAGTGCAGCGAGAGAGGCCCACAAGCAAACTGACAACTGGGTGTGAAGGTGTCACTCTCGCCTCCTCGCTTACACTCTTTCACTCTTTTTTTGCCCTTTCTTTTACTGCTCTGTACATCCTCTTTGGAGGGAAAGCTGAACATCCGTCCACACAGTAGTATGTTGGAATGAAGAGGAGCACAGGGCACAAACCTCAGAGCTGACTGAAAACTGTCAAAAGTCACTATCCCCTGCAAAAACCACGCAACATATACGTTCAAAACCAGAACATAAAACTCAGTTGTTTGTTTTTCCATAATCACGTCATAGTTTAAATTCACTGCAGATGATCATGCAGTCTCAGAAATCTTGTTGCAATGTAGCACCCATGTATCTGTAGAGTTCTGTACAGTAGGTTAATGCAGGACAGCCTTTCACTGTGTCCGATGGAAGAGACCAAACATGGCAGTATTCATGGTAATTTTTCAGCTTAAGATGATGTCATGCAGCAATGTGCAAAGAGTGATGAAATGCAGTCAGATTGCAACTGTAACATGTACATTTAATAACCTATAAAATCTGCTATTGCCAGGTGATAAAGAAGTATTCAAACCAGTTACCTGGGTACATTAATGTGTATGTTTCATTTACATGCATAACAAATAAATATACACCAATTATATATAATGAAACAACAAGATCTAAAACCTAAAAATGAAATAATTCCCAAACCTGGGGATCCAGAATCGATCCTATCTCAAATCAATGAGGGTTGCCATGCGTTTTTAAGATAATTTGGATGATTTCATGTTCTCAGACCGGATGAGGAAAAATTCTCTAAACTCTGCAATACTTTATTTTATGTTAATGTTGTATTTAAAATCCTAATTTTCAGAAAGATGCAAAGTAAACTGCATAATGTTTCCCTCTGTAATGCAGTGGAGCAAAAGTACAAAACACACAAAAAAATTTTGATTGTTCCAACACTGACAATTGAAAACTACACTGACTGAAAATGAAATAAATGTACTTTGGAAATATATTTGAATTTTAAACGTCAAGCAACAGCAAAAATAGATAATAATAATAATAATAATACATTTTATTTATAAGCGCTTTTCTAAATACTCAAAGACACTTTACATAAAAAAAAATAAAAAATAAAAAAAAAAGATGATGCATGATTGGATTACATTAAAATATGTTAGAAACTACCAAAGGCAGCATATCATTTAAAGGACCTAGAGGAGTTTTACTTTAAAAACAATGTCATACAAAGAAAAAGGAATTTCAATTTCATAACAGAATGTCAAACATTAACCAGAAATAGAAAAATGTTCAGCATCTTTATAGAAATGACATTAAAAATGATGACATAAAAAATGAAGTGAAAGAAATGAAATGTCAAACAGATGCAAACTTTAAAAAAAAGGCTTGAAAATGAAGAAGAAGGAGGGAGAAAATTACTTATCAAACACCGTTGTTAAAGGTCAAGTTTGAGAGATCTTTTGGAAAGTGTAGCGTGAAAAAGGGTTTGTGGAAAGAGCTTCAGAGCAACGAGGCTACACTGCTGAAGGCTCCTCCGCCCCTCTGATGCTCCGTCCTGACAGCTGGACGCAGGAGGGAGGAGTCGGATGATCAGAGGGTCCATGATTGTGGGGGAGGTAAGAGAGGTTAGAAGGGGCAAAGAAAGTTAATAAGGACATTTGAGGTGATTAGCATTTAACTCAACTGAACTGTGTTAAATGGGCAGGCAGCAATAGTTTAAGGTTTTAATTCACAACTTGAAATATGACTCCTCATCTTAAAAGCTGGATATAATATCCATTAAATAACACTCTGTAGTCCGAATACTGTCTAGTTGAAAAATGATGCATGTGGAATTAAATAAATCAAATTACACTGCTGCATCCCAATGGAGTACAGTAAACCATTGCTTTGTGAATTTTAAAAAACCCACCTTAGCTATAGGCCTGTAACATTAGCCAACTAACTAATAATGGTGACATAAAGAAGATTCTTCCAGTAAGTCAGCTAGTGTTGCCAAGTTGTTTTTATCTTCACTTCATTATACACCTATTTGGGCACTTGAACTGGTGCAATATCGACAGCACACTCCTCCTTACAAGTTGTGATGATGTAAATCAGTGGTTCCCAGCACCCCTTAAAACAAAGCTTTGTTTGCTTGTGGACCCACATCACAGGCCGCATGTGGTGGCCTATTGAACCAAAGACTGTACTTTTTAGGCTCCTGACGATATATATAAGCATCCAGTAATTTACAAGAAAAAAAAACAAAGACTGAAGACTGAAAAAGGAAATATGCTTCTGTGCAGCAGAAATCTGTTTATTCTGCTTTCCTATTCTTTTAAAGCAATATTACAGTAATGTAGTATTGCACTTCCATAATTTTGGGGATCTCACAAAAGAAATATTAAAACAAGAGTGAACTTCTTGTTTAAAATCCCAGGAGTGCCTCGATTTGAACCCCAGATTGGAAGCTATGATATGATATGAAAGTAAGTTAGACAGTAAGTAACACATACATATTAAATGTTAAGATGTGCATAATACTATAAAGTATAAACTGAAATCTACATCTACACCTATTTTGACACCAGCTCCTTTTGAGATCTGTTCATCTTCTGTTTTTGTTATATGGTGTATCCAGTATGTGAGACCCCTGAATATTGGGATGAATAAAGTTTAATTGAACTGATTTTAACTCCCATTACACAAGCTACCCCAGTAAAGTGCCCCTCTGACAGCCCTCCATCCATCACACTGAGGTTAAACTCAAACAGCCAGCTCACTGGACCTACAAACTTCTTGCAACGTGATGACGTAACGCGCGACGTCCGCCATAGTTTCAGCACCTGATTGGAGCAAATCCACCCCACCTGTTTTATCACACAGCCAATCAGAGTGCAGAAACACTGAGCACACTGACTGCAAACACGGAAGTAAAGTGCGAGAAACAGGCGTCAGCGTACTTTTTATCGATCTCTACTTCAATGCAACTGAAGCATCTGTGATTAAAAGCAGACTTTGCACGTTTAATAGCTGCACACGTTTATTATTATTATTTTTTTTCCCGTTCTATGGATTTCTTGCAGCTTCTGTCATGGGCCTGCATCGTGTTTACAGTCGGGATGTTCTCGACTGGACTGTAAGTTTTATTGCTCTTTAATGTCATGCTGCATGGCAGTGTGTCACTCCTCATTTGCTTAAGATTGGTAGAAAACAGGAAGCAGGTTTTCTGATCTAATTCCACTTGCTGGTCTGAACTCAAGTAAGCCAGAACTTGTGACAGTGAAGGGATGCGACAGTATATGGACCCAGACAGATCAAGTTTATTTGATTTAGAAGTATCTGTATGTGTGTGTGTGTTGACCTTTTGGCTGTCTCTCTCTCTTTTTGTATTGTGTGTGTGTGTGTGTGTGTGTGTGTGTGTGTGTGTGTGTGTGTGTGTGTCTAGGACCGACCTGAAGAAGATGTGGGAATCCAAAAGTGCTGACAATATCCAATTTCTCCCTTTCCTCACCACGTGTCTTAAGTAAGTTAGTGTGTGTGTGTGTGTGTGTGTGTGTGTGTGTGTGTGTGTGTGTACACAATCCTTGATCTTGCCCTGGTCTGAACATCTATGCTCCTCTCGTTTCCATAGTAACCTGGGCTGGCTGTATTATGGGATTCTGAAGAGAGATCAGACGATCGTCCTGGTCAACATTATTGGAGCTCTACTCCAGATCCTCTACATCTTCGTTTACTTCCACTATACAAAACAAAAGGTCAGCTGGGCATCAACTATATAACTTTATTTGAGTTTGTTGTGTGCACAGCTTTCTCTCAGCATCTGTGTGGGTGTGTTTGTTTCAGAGACTGGTGACGTCCCAGACCCTCGCAGCAGGGACGGTGCTGACCGTCGGTTGGTTCTACTTCACCACGTTTCTTCCTGAGGGAGAAGCGCGGCTCAGCCAGCTAGGCCTCACCTGCAGCGTGGTCACCGTCAGCATGTACCTGTCCCCGCTCACCGACCTGGTACAGCTCACATTCATTACAGACAAACGCAAACTAGACACAGCGTGTACATCTAACTTACCATCATCTCACGGGGTTCATAGATAATGTAGAGACAGTATGTTTTTATAATTGTAATATCTGTTCTGGAATAGAGGTATAGTTAGCTTGTTTATTGTAAATAAATATGTTCTATCTAATAATCTGCTAAAATCTGCACATTATCAAATTGGCATACATAAGTGATTCAACTATTAGAACAAGGGTCTCAAACATACTGGCCCTCCATCCCATCGCTCCAGCATGTGACGTAATAAAAAGATAATATAATCTGTCCGGAAAGAGATTTTATATATTTATTTATTTATTTATTTATTTACAGTTTATTGTTTCGTATCAATTTAAAGTAACTCTTGATATAAAATTCAAATAAAAGCAATTCTGTTTAAAAAAAAAAAAAAAAAGTATGTTCCAAAATAATGGTAAAGGTCAAAGGGGCTGTTTTCTTCACAGCTTAACTTAATCACTCGGACTACACTCAGTACGTACAACTGTAAACAGCACATTTAGTCTTTTCCGACCGTATCCCTCACTGAACATCTGTATAGACAGCAGGCAGCATCTGTTCTGCTAACTCAGTCAACTCTGCACGTGCAGCTATTTACTAATGAAGGAATAAATCCCCTGTTCTCTCTCTTTCCTTTTCTCTCTTTGTGTCATCTTGTCTTGTTCTCCGTCTCCTATCCTGTTTATCTCCTTCCCTCCATCTGTATCATAGCTCTGAATGACCCGCAGTCAGTTTCCTGCCTTTCTTTCCCTCATCTGTCTCTTCCTGTTATTCTCAGTCTCTGTCCCCTTGGTTACATTCTGTTTTCTGCTTACCGCTTACATGATTTTATGTTTGCACTTATCAACATTATTCTACAAACATTCCAGATGTACTTGTACTGACAGGCGTTCTTAGTATTGCACTTGTTTGGACACAACAAATCTGACTGAAATAGTTGTGTAAAGAATAAAAAAAGAAAGCTTGAGAGAGAAGTTCAAACTCTGCTTGCTTTGTCACATCCACATACCTGACCAGTTGCTACATGAAGTGGGTATGGATCCCGGATTTGGGGTTTTGGAGGAAGAGAATATCTGAAGTTTGATGACCATATAACAAGCAGTTCTCATGGAGTATGCTGGCACCTTAATTCAGCTTGCTGATTTTTTTTTTGCGTGACTTGGAGGCAGCAGAACAAAACATAAACATAAAGATTGACATATTATCACCTTATAAAATTGTTATGGCAAACACATTTGCAAGCGATTGCCTATTTACACAACCAGCAGATCTGGAACAACATAATCATTCATTTGGAGTCATGTTTCTGGCCACCCGACATAATGGAAACTGTCGGCCCCAGGGGCCATTTCCAGCCCTCATCCTCCTCCTGCTAGCCTGCAACATAATGTCAAACATATAATCTGCCTCCTAAGATTTTTTTTCTGGATGATTCAGTCAGATATTGATATACAATTAAAATACACAATTATATTTTAAAAAATAACAATAATGACAAAAGGTCAAAGGTGCCCAGCAAAGGGTTGATAAAAGCGAGCAGATTTTGGGGGTTTCTCTGCTAGCAACAAAGATTATATAAAATGATGATATATAAATGTATAGTAACTGCTGTTTGCATTCATGTTAGTAACAGAAATACTTTCAGAATGTTGCGCTATCGCAGTACTGGAACATTGAAGTGGCCCTCCTGTGTGTTAACAGTACCAACTGTGGCCCCCAAGCCAATTTGAGACCCCTGAGCATACATTTGGTTTATCAGTGGGGTTTTTTTTCCTGGAAACAGCTGCCTGCTGCTGCTAGAAGCAAGCATGACAAGAGCAATGAGAATTAACCAAAACGATAAAAATTGCCAGCTGTTAAACCAAAGCAGTGACCTGAAAGATGCTAAGATGCTCCACAGAGCAGGAGGGGAACTGCACAGCTTTCACATTACACATAGTGCTTTGATCCATTGTATATAATATAAAAACTCTAATCATTTATTATTAAAGCAGTTTTTTTTTTGTTAACTAATTGTTGCTATCCTCTTCCTTTTTAGGTAGAAATAGTGCGTAGTGGTAATGTGAAGTGCTTGTCCTTCCCTCTGACTGTAGCCACCTTATTCACTTCAACTTCCTGGGTCCTCTACGGTCTTCAGTTGAAGGACAACTATATTGTGGTAAGACAGACGGAGAGAACATGCACATGAATCACACCTGTAAACACAGTTTCTTCATTAAAATCAAATGAAAGCTATAATCTTCTTCTTGTTTCCGTTCATTCAAGGTTCCAAACACGCCGGGAATCTTCACCAGCCTCATTAGATTTTATCTGTTTTGGAGGTTTGCATCTGTCAATCAAAGCTCACCTTCCTATAAGCCTATGCATATATGAGATTATATATATATATATATATATACACACACACACACACTCAGTTAAGAAAATTTAAAGAGATGGCTGATCTGTTGAATCCATGGAGGACCGCAGCAAAGCTCTCCCGTCACTCGTCTTTTTTTTATCATACGGAGAGACGGAGTTACATGGAGGGAGCTGTCATTGGATGACGGTGTGGACGTAATGTCTGTTGATTTTATCGTTTCGGGGAAGTGTATCAGTTACTCAGTTGGGCAGGAAAATCTATGATGTCATAATTTTCTTGTTTTTCGGGGCGTTTTCTGCAGCTAGCTGTGTCTCTTCTCCGTGTCCTTCAAGTGCTTTCTGTTAGATCGTGTTTGCCTTTAAAGATTAACGGCGTTTTCTGATCTACCAACATGTCTTGCACTCTGTTCACAACCCAGTGAATTGGACTGAATCTCCCTCACCTCATACTAGCCAAAGATTTTGTGGAGTTGTCACTTGCTGGCTGCTATTTTCATGTTACATATAGAGGCTTTGGTCTCTGGTACTCATGTATGGAATAAGGTAGTATATAGTTTGATATTTTCTCCACAGTCTGCTGAGGCAATGATGATTTCATATCTCTTTAGAGGTAGTACTCATGCCTCTATAACCATGCTGACAGAATATTGAGTCATATCAGTGGCAGTAAATTATATTTGTTCAGAATTGTTTTCTACATATTTTACGTCTTTTTGATACAGAATGTGTATGTTTGCTTATGTCCAAGATCATATATTGTCTACTTATATTGTTAATGCTATTTTTCTAAGCTCTTGTATATGGGATTAAATAAAATTAGAAAATAAATTAACACCATAGGGTTTGTTTACATGAATGAATGATGTTTGTTTTTCTGGTGGCTGGTTTTTATGAGTAATAGAGTTTTGTTTAGTCTCCTCATTATTATCTGTAATAAGGACATATGTTATGCAAATTAAACAGCCGAGTGTCAATGCTGATTCACTACACTTCTAAAGGATGTAAGATCTTTAAAGGTGCCATGTAAATAAATTTTTACTTTAACCATCAATGACTTTTATTTTCTGATTGCTTGTTAAGTTGTGACCATGGTGGACATGAAAGATTTTGTTGTGAGAAAGCTGCACTTGACGCTTTGAAGTAGATTTGTGCTGTAGTTTGGAGGTTCTGTTTTGGACGCAGTAATGAGCTTACATGCAGATGGAGATAAGTGTGTGTGTGTGTGTGTGTGTGTGTGTGTGTGTGTGTGTGTGTGTGTGTGTGGAGAGAGAGAGAGAGAGAGAGAGAGAGAGAGAGAGAGAGAGAGAGAGAGAGAGAGAGAGAGAGAGAGAGAGAGAGAGAGAGAGAGAGAGAGAGAGAGAGAGAGAGAGAGAGAGAGAGAGAGAGAGAGAGAGAGATTGGGGTGGTTGTGCAAGAAGAGACAAAAGCTTGTTTGATGGTCCAGCAGTGTGAACAAGCTTGTTTGTGTGAGTGTGTTGATACAGAGAGGGCAGTGGTGGGAAAGGCCACGCCAGAGGTTCTCATCCCGTGTGTGTGTGTTACATTGGCCTCTCTTCCTGAGCTCAAAGAGCCTGCGCCTGACAGAACACACAGACACAACACTGTATTGTGCTGGAATGGAGTGTTATGTAGAAAAGCTAAGCTGAGAGGACTGGAGGTGGGAGATAAATGAGCTACAGTTGAAAGAAGGAACAAGAAAGAAAAGGGGACATTTTTGAGCAGAGAAGAGAAGAATGTATAAATGAGGTGGGAAACAGAAAAATTTGGAACAAGAATAAAACAATTCAAAGGAGAAATTTAGGTTAGCTTGTTCTCTAGTTCTGTTGTAACACGGTGTTTAATAAAGCAACACTAAGAATCTACAGCCATGCTACCAGCAATGTCAGCATGCTAATATGCTCACAATGCCAAATTATTATATATATTATATTTTTAGTATATGTATAAAGTTTTAAGATTCACCATTTTCACTGTCTTAATTTAGCATGTTAGAATCCAAAGTACAGCTTAGGTTGATGGGAATGTCATTAGTCTCTTGATTATTTGGTCATAAAAAGTATTGGACAAATTCAAATTTTACTGATGATGGTAGATAAAAGATCATGGCATCACCAAAATTTATCCTGAGGGTGACATGAGTTTTCCATTCAACGCTGATGGAGACATTTCATTTCGAATGTGAACCTCATCAAAGTCAGTCAGTGAACTGTACACATTTTATTTGTCAATCCAAACCGTAGATGTTGAGATATTTCATAGGATAAAGAAAGACTGTGATCTGCTGGTGGCACGAAAGAAAAAAGAGGATTCATCCTCTGCGGACCATGAGTGTGTACAGAATTTTATGACATGCTATCCAATGGTTGTTATGATTATGAGGTTGTGATATTTAAGTTTGGACCTTTGTGGTATACCAGAGCCAGCGCTAATGGCTAAGAATATGAAAACGATAAAGCAGAAGGAAAGGATGTATAGAAAAGAAAAGGGTAAATTCTAGGGACAATAAGGGAATTCTATGGATTTCTCTTGTTATTGTGTAATTAAGTTATAACAAAAGTTCAGTTTCAACAAGTGTATTATAAAAAAAAAACCAATAGAGACAGGATAGTGCAGACGAGTGAGTCAGATTCAGGTCTGCTCTTGACCAGAAATATGTTATGATAAACAACCCTGATAAGAGATAAAGTGGGGGGCCTTGTGAGAAGAAATTAGTCATTTAGGAGGAACAGGAAGGTAGGGGAAGAAAAATTAGTAAACGATGAGTCCAGGAGAAGATAAGGGAGTATTGGGTGTTGTCCATTCTTCTAGTGAATAGAGACACAACTTAATGAGGTTGAAGAGACAATGTATGGAGTCAGATAGGCTGGCCGGACACTCACCTCATTATAAACTGGGGCTTTATTGTAAAGAGACAACATGTTAAGTGTTAGGCAGGAAATCAAAACATGGTCCTTACCCTGATGTGTACACGTCTTTGGTCGACAGCCAAATAGAGACAGAGGTCCTATGTTTTGTATACGTGTGTGTGTGTGTGTGTGTGTGTGTGTGTGAAGGAGTAAGGGTATTGAGGGGGCGTAATCAGCTGAACAATGAGTACAACTCACAAACAGGATCCCTGTGTTTCCTGTAGTAGAGTCTCTTTAAACAACACACAGATACACACACACACACACAATTTGACTTTAATGTTTGCACACATCCTTTTAATCATAGGTATATACACATTATATGTACAGTATGCTGTCTCTTACACAGACTCCCACAATCTCTTCCCCACAAACACCATGTGTGCATTCAGATGTCTATTTTTGTCATTGTCATTTTGAATTCGGATCTATGGGTTTTGTTTCCCCCGTAATTACACACAACAAAGTCTCTGCTAACATGCAGTCTGCAGCCAGACAGTGTGCATACTCAGCATATAAACACACACACACACGGCATACACACTGGGGGGCAGTCAGCAGCTTGTGCACTTTCTACCATCAGTAAAACCACACCTGTCCCAGCTGCTGTTTTGAAGAGAAGAAGAGGGGAAGAAGGAATGTGCTTCTATCAGTTTTCCTGTCCGCCCCTCACCCGTCCCAGCCTTCTCTGTCGCCCTCGTCCCTCGACTTGTTTATCTAATTATTCCCATGGCCAGCTATTGTTCCTCCTCTACTCTCTCTCTCTCACACACACACACACAAAACATACTGTCATCTGATTTCGTTCTTTCTCCTGATTGTGTTTTTCTTTACCTCTTCCCAAATCCCATCTCTTTCTCATATCTTCTTACACCCTCTCTTCTCAATGTATCACTCTCCTTCCTTCACCTTGCATTCCTCTAAAATACTTGGTGGTCCCGCAGTCCTGCTCCTACACTTTATGATATAATCACACACGGATGGCAGCCATGTTTTGTACACTCAGATCATCTGCAGTGATAATCAGGTCTGTCTCATGAAACTGTCAGGCAGTCTAAGATTTATATAGATTTTATAAGCAGAGGAGAGAGGAGCACACAAGCTTTCTCAGCTCAGAAAACCACTTCAAGCTCTCGTTATATGCAGCAGATTTACACATAAAAGTCCCCAATTAACACTGAAGCTTTCTATCACAGCTTTTTATTAGTGTGCATGTATATGCATGCACTGCCCTGTTTGTAGATGCAGTTGGTGCTGTAGGTATTTATGGGGAACCATGTGCAGAGAGCAGCAAGTGGCTTTCTATTCCCAGTTTTACCAGCTTCGCCACCTTTGTTTTGATTTTATAATCAGCATTTTTCTCCTCAGAGCCTGTTAGTTGCACAGCTGAGGGGCTCACACAAGAACTTGGGTGCATCGTACATAACACACAAAGACCACCTTCCTGTTTTTCATACACACACGCAAAAATGTGACTGTTCAGCTCTTACACTGTTACCAGTTGGTGCTGAAAGACCTTTGCTCGGTTCTTCTGCCACGGAAATAGATTTACAGGCAGCCCTCCGGTGTGTCCTGAGGGTTATAGTGCGGTTCAGTATGTCCTGTCTCAGTCAGTCCAGATTGTTTTTTGCTCACTCCTCCTTCCTCTTCTTCCTCCTCCTCCGCTTCTGCCGCCATTCAGAATGGGAACAGTGAGTAAAATGATATGTGGACAGCTAGTCATTAAGCTGTCAGAGGACAACCTGTGAACCAAAACAAGCACATATGAACACATACACACGTACATACCTTTGATATAATTTTTCAGGTATCCTACTGTTTTACCAGCAGAACATATCAGGGATTCAATAACTGGCCCCAACAACAGCTTTACAAGCAAGTAAGTTTAATTTAACATGTTTTGCTGGTTTCCAAAATAAATACATTTGCATTAAACTCACAAAATTCAGTTCTATAAATCACTTCTACTTGTATAGTGAAGACAAGCCAGGTTATAGTTGTGAAGAATACAATTAAAAACCGAGCCAAACAGGTGGTACAGTACAGTTAAGGACTTTATAGAGAGTTAATGTTTTCCTGTCTAAAAATGACACACATAATACTCACAGAGCCTGAGGGGCTGTGGTCCTGTCTGAGCATGCTCTCCGACTTTGGCATCCGTCCAGAGCACACACACACGTAGCAGATTTGTGTGTGTACATGTGTAAGTGAGGATTTGGGAGTGTTTTTGAATGGCAACCATGTAAAGTGGATTTGGATTTGATTGCAGGGGTGCATGTGGATTTCAGTGCAGTGGCACACAGTGTATGTGCAGGACATAAACGTCCACTGTGATGTGCAGAGGTGCTGAGGAAAGACAGGAGACACGGCTGTTTAGGGGACTTGGAGTCTGTGCTTGCATTAGCAAACATTTCTGTAGCTTCCTGCACTGTTTGCACATTTGAAAGTTTATTACATCTCGTTGCGTGTGGAACTTTTGCAAGTCTGCATGGCACTCAGCAACTTTGCTTCGGTTGACTCAAACAAACGAAAGAAAGCTTTACTGCCTGTCTAAATACAGTAGTTTCATCTCAGGTCATGATAATAGATCAAGATCTAATAAAACTTAGTCAGTGACGGTAGCAAATATCTGAAAAGCAACAACATGGTTAAAATTTATTTTTTTACTTCCACTGTAATCTGTATTCATTGGAAATTCCTTACTTATCCCCATTATTTGTACATACTGTAGTTTAGTTCCTTATTTGTCTTATCTTGTGACTATAGTATTCATCATAAGACCATCTGCCAACTCTTCTATAACAAATAATAAAGTTTCACAACCAAATTCAACTGGAAATTCAGGTGAATTTCACACTAACACATTTGCGTGCAAACAGACACACACTGGCTTAACCTTTGTGGGGAGGAGCTCTGTCTGGTAAACGTGTAAACTAAACGGAGCTGTAACTAAGACACAATGCAACCACACTGGGACAGAGCCCCATGGAGGTTGAATTAGGTCTAGAGAGAAAAAAAGCACTTTAGTGAAATGCTTTTTCAACAGCACATCTTGCACTGAGGTTTGACTGTGTTTAAAGTTAACAGTGGGGCCAATGTGGTGTTAATGTAGAATTTACTTTTTTGTTTTGTCGGAGGTTTTATTTCTTTATTTTTTGTTTCTCCCCCTCCAGGCTGGTGAAGGCCATAGAAAACCTCCAGTGTTTCTCCCTCTCTGCTGATCCCTCCTTTTATATTTATTTCTAATTACGTCTGTATGTGTGGTGCAAATGCAAACTAATATGTGACACTCTCCAGAACTTTGCAGATCTGTACTCTCAGGAACTACACAAAAAAAGGAATCAGTCTTGACTAATTGTAGCATATGTGCATTTGAATTAATGTTGATTTATATGTCGTGTCACGAACAAATAAACAGGTACAAGAAATGGGAAAAAGAGAAAGAGAAAGAAGGAGAGGGAGAGAAACATTCTTTCAGGTGTAACACAATGAATAACACAAAGATGGAGCCAAACAGAAGCTGAAAGCTCTTAACTTGTAATATCGGACCTGTCATCACAGATTTGTGGCCAGACAAGTCAGTGTTGACATTTAGTGCACCTGTTGCTGAGTAGCCTTTTTTTACACAATACATAGGATAATCAGACAAAGCACAAACAATGTCGCCCCCTAATGGTGAAGTTTTATTATTGCAAACTCCTCCAGCCAAATTCAGAGAGCTCCAACAGTAGTATGATTGCAACAGCATCTGTTAATGTAAAAAACAATGACTAACGCACAACCACTCTGGTCTTACGCAGTATCCATGAACTCTTTTACCTTTGTGGAACATTCCTATTTGTTGCTGTCTGGGTGTTAAAACAATGTTCCAACTACCAGTCCAACTGGCTCCCCTTCTCTTGCTATGTCTTCTGTTCACATATAATACAGCTGTTGAGCTCTTAGCCTCCCTCTTTCTGTTGCTGTTGTTCTGTATCAGGTGTCCCATAAGGTGTGTCCTGGCTTTGTACAAAATAGGATGATTATATTTAAACCCTGTGGCACAATAGATCCACTTAACGTGTTCATGCAGCTCTGGCACACTCGAGTGATTAAGGGGCACACTTGCCCTTACATGCAGGCGGGCACCACACACTCATAGAGACATCAGTTTTTTCCATGACATTTAAACAAGGAGAGTCTCTTTTCATAATCCCTTCTGGAGTGCTGCTCTGCTGTTTACAGTCAATCAAAACGTGACAACTTTATAGCATGTGATAGCTATATTTGACCAAAAACATGTTTATCTTTTGGTTGTAGAGCGGGAAATGACAGGCAATGAGGAAAGTAAAAGCATAACCAAGAGGGTCCAAAATATACAGAGACAAAAGGTGTCTGTGTTAACTGTATTATGGAAAACAAATTTTGTTTTTGAAAAGTGCAAGGAAAAGACATCAGAGCATTTAATGATAATATAGCGCGGTTGTTATTTGACACAAAGTGACTCCATGTTACAGTTATCAGTCATTTATTGTTGTTTTCTCATGACATGATAGAAACATTCTGCCAGCAAAGATAAATCTAAATTAAGAGATTCTGATTTCTCTGATGCTACAGTCTAAAGTCATTCAAGTGCTATGCTGTAACGCAAGTAGAGACACACACATACATACAACAGAAAGCATGAAAGTCACAGCCAGAGCTCACATACACACCAGAAAAATCATATTATATATCAAAATACAGTCGGAGCCAGTCTATATGAAAATATTACAATATAGACAATCTCTTGCATTGAAATGATGTATAACTGGGCTTATACATTCCCCAAACATAACTGCGAATCCGCTTAGTCAATAAGTAAATGAGCTACTGCCACTTGCAGTAGGGAAAAAAAATGAAAGTCACCCAGATCTCATAAAATAGACCTTTTCTCACTAGCCTACTTCAGCTGGTTATCTTGTCATCCATCCACTTCCATTGACGTCACATCTCATCATTAATATTTATGTGCAAATGACTCAAACACCACAGTTTAATACCGGACAAGTAGGCCATCGTCATTTTTAACTTTCGTCAAAATGTAAAACACTGAAATGTAAAACAGTATAATGAGAACAATATTCCTCAGAACCTTTTTTTAATCTGAAAACACTGAGGCAACTGTGAGCATATTTACCCAGCCGAAAGTCCTTTTTGAAATGCAAAACAGCGACTATATAAAATACCAACTGGGACTGTTTAGACACAGAGACACGTGATCCTGACATGAGCCAGCTATGCCACCTCCTCACTATTCAACAACCGAGAAATATTCACATTCTCTAATTCTGAATTATATACACATCGTTAACACTTCTTGAGGCTACATAAAAAAATTAAGATATAAAATTAGACATACAGTACATCTGAGGTGCTTTACAAGGTGACAGTTATCTGCATATATGTAAGTTATGAGTCCTAGTTACACTTGCATGCAACGTTTGTTGTCCGATCATTCTGGGACAAATTAAGACAAGTGTAGAAGGAGAGCAGATTTTTCTTACATTGCAAACAGATTTTTTTTTTAACCTGTTATAAAGGTGTTTAACTCACCCTGTCAACAGAATTCTGCATAGTCTAAAATCACTTCAGCCACAATGTCCATAGGAGCATTGCAAAACTGAGGAGAAAGAAAGCAGGAAAGAATATAAAATAATTAAAGCCAAAAGGCAGAGTTAATATTTCCAGGCCAAGTGCAAATGCAAATGAACGTCCGATATTTATAGTCAGATCTCAAAAACCACACTGAAAGGAAAAATGTAACCATATTTAGCAGTTACAGTTCAATCAAGTATCGAAGATCAAGGCAATTAATTATCAACCCTCACATTAAGTGGTGAATGTAAACCACCATTAACTCTACATACATTAGAAAAACTGAGTGAACTGTGCCCATTAACTGACCTCTCACCACAACTTATTTGCTGAGATTTGTTGCACGCGTTTGGATAGTTACCCTCCGTGGCGGCGGTTCCTCAATGCTCCGATTGGCCACAAGGTCCTGCAGCTGCAGGGCCCCCCCGCCAATAAAGCAGAAGGCCGGACACACTGGAGCTGAACAATCCACGTGTCCCTCACACAGGATGCGCAATGAGTGGGCATCATAGAAGGTGACACGTCCTTTGTCACAGTCCAGACACACTCCTAGTCGGGGTGGCAGAGGAGCAGTATGAGGATGAGGCAGGTTGCTATGGCTGCTATTGTGGGAGTGCACTCCTCCCTGGCTGTGGCTGTCCCCCTGGCTCTGACTGTGACCATGTCCTTGAGGAAGCAGGATCTTGCCCATGCCCATTGTGAGGAAGCAGAAAGGAGGAGAGTCCTGGCCGTCTTCCGCCCCGCTGTCATGGCCACTGTCTGGGTCGCAGCTGGGGGGAGGCAGAGGGGATGAGAAAAGCAAAGGAGGAAACTGTAACTTGTGTTAAAACCATTACAATTCAATAGTATACTTAAATACAGTAAGACCTTAAGATATGAAATATGACACTTGCAATGCTAGCTTGAATATAACATTTATATTTTAAATCTTTGGATTTTTGCAACAGCACAGAAAAAACATTGAAAACACAGTAATATAATGATATTATCAGAGAATATTATGAGTCTGTCCCCTGAAAAACATGAGTACTGTGACCTTATTCAGTGTTGTGGAGTTGTTATAAAATGTTATTGTGTGAAGACTATGAGTGTGCATAATTTTTTAGACACTCAAATTGCTCCTAAAAGGAACAACAGCAGTGAAAGTGTGTGTAAGATAAATACATACATATATCCAGTCCTGGATCTAGTCAGGCCAATCACAGTCATTTATCTAATATGGGGCAGGTTTTATACAGTGACTGTGCAGAGGAGCACAACCTTAGTGGCTTTTAAGACATTTTCATTTACAACCACGATGGCTGCCACTGTGTGGAACTGTTTCTGTTGAATCTGCTATCACGTCTATATATTACACATATTAAACAAAGTGGACAGTATATTTTCTCTAAAAGAAGAACAAACAACTGCACCTAAAGCAAAGATGTGCGTGCTGTACGTCCGACAGGACTTGGTAAGTTTAATTGACCAACTACGCTACATCGCATGTTTCATTGCTCTGATTGGTTGAAGGTCTATCCAATTGCTTTCAGAGAAATTTTTGTCTGTGGCCATTGATAACACCTCTGAAAAATCAAAATGAACTGAGAGGTTCCATGCTCATTTGCAGATTACAAATTAGTCTGCAAATTAGTGTGCAAATTAGTCTGGCGATGTCATGCTACAGATAAATCCCAATCATGTCTGCATTTGTGGTTCAATGCATTCTAATTGTTGTTATAGGAAATGCAAATTAGTTTCTGAAACAGAATTGTGGGAGACAAATAATCTAAAGTCTATATTTAAGAGAGTAAGATTTAGTTACCGAGGGCTGGCCATGTCCTGAGGGAGATGAAACCACTCTTGTAGCTTAGTCTCCTGGCCTACTCCCACCTGTAAGAGAGGGAATCAGGAATCACAAGGCTCACATCCATTTTGAGTCAGCATGTAAAGCTGATTCCATACATACAACACATTATTATACCGAACCAACTGACCAAGAAGCATCCCTCTCACCTTTACCAGGTAGGAACCAGGTTCCACAGAGCAGGCCCAATAGTGTCTGCCCTGAGTTACAGCCAAGTCGGCCACCAGCAGGTCAGAAGTCAAGTGGCAAGAAGTAAGTGTGCGGTCAGCAGCCTGCAGGAGGGAGAGGCCTGGCACACTGCGGGCATAAGTCTGGCCTTTACCCAATGCCAGCCTGTCAGCATGCAGCCCCCAGCGTGAGTCCAAGGAGAAACTCAAAACTGAGAGGACAGGAAAAGGAGGCATACCAGGAGGGAAAGGAGGGGTTAAAGGGGAGAGAGATGGCGAGAAAGGTAACAGAAAAGAGTCAGGAGGGAGGAGGGGTTAGATCTTGAAGCTGGGACAGTCAGGCTACAGCAATGCTGAACACATAATGGAAGAAGAGCTAAAGAAGAAAAGTAGGAATAAGTGGCTTTACCAGGAGGAGGAGACGTGAGAAACAGAGTAAAGGTAACATTCACTTCATCTACATATTGTTTTAGCTGATCAGGTCATTTTGATTAAATGCTTTTTTGTGAAGGAATGACAGCAAGAAAAACGGACATTGACAATTGCATAAGGACAGACCTGTAGCAAGAAAGACAGAAGTGGAAAGATTCTGACTGGGATGAAACTGGAATGCAGAACAGCAAAAGGAAGGTTTGGTGCAGAAGATAAAATAAAGTGGGAATGGAGGAAGTGAAGGAATGGAGAAAAAAGAAAAATCAAGATTAGTCAATCAATCGAAAAATGACAATACCAGAAAAAATATCCAACTTAAAATACTGAATGTGCCAACACTTTTTTCTTTGTTACCAATGCAAACAAACTTGTTTTACACATTTTAAAACAAAAAAAAAATCCAGTCTTGTGCCATATTACTTTTACTATTCTACAAGCTATTTACAATACACTTCTTTCTTATAAATTGATGAATTCAGTGAAACTGCATTGGAAACAAGGAACGGCCTTTTAAGAATAATGGAAAAATGAAGAGTTTTTTGTAGTGAATGAAATGTAAAACTTTTAAAATCGATGTAATATAATACATGTACATATCTTACCAGGTGCTGGTGGAGTGTGGAGATAAACCTCTTCACTGTACTCTCCAAACCCGGCCTTGTTGCAGCCCCTCACCCTGAGCACATACACACTGTCCATCTGCAGTCGATCAACCACAGCACTGGTCCCTCTCACTTCATCCAGACGCTGCCATGCCGTTGCAGCATTAGGGGACCTGATGCCGCCCCATGTGGCTGCAGCTCCTCCTGCTCGTCGCTGGAATTCAACAGAGAAATGCCAAGCTGGAGCCGAGTCCTGAGGGAGGCGCCAGCATAAAAACAGCTCGTCATAAGCAAGTGTCTTCTGAGTGTCAATGACTGGAGCCAGTGGGGCTGTGGGGGAGACAAAGCGACAGAGAAATGCAGATTACATTCAGTTACTTTCACTTTTAAATAGCTCATATCATAAAAACAAAGCAGCCTACCACGTATGAACTCCAAGCTGTGGATGAGCTTGACCTCTTTGGATGCATCTAGGTGAAAGTGTCTGAAGGAGGGATCAGCAGAGAGGGAGAAACACTGGAGGTTTTCTATGGCCTTCACCAGCCTGGAGGGGGAGAAACAAACATATAGAAAAAGAGATAAATAAAACAGAAAGAAAAAAGTATCCAAAATGCCAGATAGAAAAAACAAGAAATATATAGTGTCAGAAAGTCTAATCTAACTAATTCATTCCACCTGAGCTTAGGATTCAGCTGAATAAGTGCACGTTACCTGTTATGAGTGACTCTGGCAGCCTGTACAAAGCAGGGTGCATCGGTCTCCTTGAGCAGCTCCTGTGTGTAGGCCATCAGGCCTGCGTGCTCCAGTAGGCCTCGCCTCTCTGAGACCTGGGCAGACAGGGCCTCCTCCCTCCTGCTGCGGGATCCCTCCAGGGCCAGAGCCAGAGCCCCCTGGCGCTCAGCAACAGCCGCTTCCAGCTCTCGGATACAGTGGGTCAGCTGATGCAGAGCCACTGTGCTGTTTGCCTGGAGAGAGTGACAGAGGGGACCCCAAAGAGTGGGCAGATAAGGGATGATATAAACACATAGACAATGTCTTAGCTATTTGCCAGCACAGACGTTTGCCATTGCAGTAAAACCACAGGCCTCTAGAGGGCCCACTAATACTACCTGCCCCTTCAGTTGCAGCTGTAGTTAAAGTAAATTCCCATTGTATTAAAGCATAAAAAAAGAGTAGTTTCATCTAAACTACAGCATGTTGTCAATTAGTGTCAAAACTGTTGCTCTCTGCAAAGAAACATGGATTCAATTCCAAGCCAACTTACTGCTTTGTTGTTCAAAAGAAAAGTAATGTGCAGCACAGTGTTGATATCTGAATTCCTGCTAGCCACATGGGATGGTCAATTCCCTTGAATTTGAACAAATATTGCAGGAGAGCCTCTTACAAATACTGTTGCACCTGTACAAAGATACAGTATGAGGAAACTTACAGGTACTATGACAAAGCAGAGGAAGCACAAAACAGAAGCAGAAAAAATAGTTCACCTCCATCTGTTTGATGGCAGCTTCCAGTTGTGTGATCTGACTCTGTATTGTCTCCTGGTTGGCCAGGATGAAGTTGATTTCCTTGGTGACCTTGTCCTGTAAGACGGAGGCAAAAGTAGACATTTAAGGCTGCTAACATCGGGATCTTAACACTGTCAAAGCAGACTAGACAGAAACTCACCTTGAGGGCCTGGTAGGCCTGTGCAATAGGCAACACTTTGTGTCCATGGTGGACACGACGGAGCTTACAAAGTGGGCACAGTAACCTCTGGCAGTTACGGCAGTACCACTGCAGCCTCTCCTGCTCATGCTCTGTGCACGTTAGGACCTAGAGCACAAAAGAGGATTAAGGCACAATGACAATAGAAGAAGAGCTACTGTTTATGATGCACAAAACACAAAAAGAGACAAACTTTTGGCCGAAAGTTGTTTGTGGGTAGAATGTGTTCGTGCTGAGCTCGAGGGGTTCCCCAGGGGTGGTAGAGTTTGAAACACTCGTTGCAGAAGTTGGACTTGCAGTCAGCGCAGCCTTTTGTGGCCTCCAGAGACTGAGGAGGCTTACAGAAGCCACACATGATGGCGACGTTGCCCAGACTTACTGTGTGCCTATACCTAAAGGGCAGACAGGGGTACAGGGAGATAAGGGCAAGGCTAAAGCAGTTCTGCAGCAGAAAAGAAAACAAGAAGGAAGATTGAGCTCATCTCAGTTTGCCCTGCTCTCTTTTCAGTAGTTAGGATTCCAACTCTTTAACTGCCTGACCTGGATACATCACCAGCAGCTGCCTTGTTAGTGCATCCTGCGCAGTAAAACATGCACCGTCACACTTTTCTGACCAACACAACCACTGTCTGGGGAGAGAGCAGCTGCACTCATCAAACTGCTGCGTGTGAAACTGGGAAACTGCCTATCCCCATAACTCTCTCTCCCCATCTCAGAACAGTTTTTCAAAAGCAGCTGCTCTCACTTTGATCTTTACTATTTGAACTGATAAGAAGAGAAGAGGATGATTAACATTAAAGGAGGATGTGAAGTATTTCACTCCAAACTTCCTCCACAAAACTTTGGCAGAACTGTTTTACCACAGTCATTGTCGTACAGTACACTGCAGTTTTTGAGCTGTCCCTGCAATCTGCTCTCAGGTTTAGCCTTGGATCAGGAGTAAAAGAAAGATTCATTATTGAAACTCTTTCCAGCAAATGATTTCCTGTCTCATTTATAAAGCAGTATTGACTAAGCCCTTCATTTGCTGCCTTTCTTCATTGCATGCAGGATTGGTTAAAGGCATTTTTTTCCAAACCCATGATTAATTTGTTTCTGACTTCGGTTAATGAGCTGATGATGAGACATTATCATAAGTAATAAACAACATATGTCATGTTTGAGACAGTGAATTCAGCTCTGTCTACACCTGACTGTGCTTGTGACTCCGCCTGCTACAGTATATACTACATCTACAATGTTTGTACATATGCATACCTCTCCACAATGCGCTCCAGTGTGAGGTTGCGGAGGCAGTCTGTCAGGCCTTTCTCTCCGAGCTCCACGTCCTGCTGACAGGAAGGACATGGGAACAGCATGGGGGGGTGGGCCGCATCCTTCCGCCTCCGCCCAGGGTATGTCCCGCACACTGGGAGAAGGACGCAGGTGTGTAGAGGAGAGGAGATGAAGGAGAAAGAGGCATGGATAGAGAGATAGGGGAGGAAAAAGTGAGGGTTTATAGAAAGGAAGATTTATATGGGGTCATAGAGATAGTTAATGAGGGAATTAGGAGAGACTGCTGAGAAAAAGTAACAAGTAGAACTCTTGGCTGTCCCTCCTATATATATGTATATATATAGAGAGAGAGCACAGTGATAAATAAAGGTTAGTTCTCTGTGGAGGAAACACTATTTGCTTACACACACGCACACCTGCTTGACAGATCCTTACCACCTTGACTCTCTCTGCCCCCGTGGCCCTTGCTCTACATGCGCTTAAATAAGTCATGACGTGAATGCACAAAGCTGTATGTACAGCGGGATAATGATGTGTCAGCTACATCATCTGTGAAACTAACAGGGCAGTGGCGTCATATAGCATCATCATCTTTTCATTTTCAAAAGATGATGTCACTCTAAGGTGGCTTAATGCTGAGCTCATTCAGTTTTTTCTCTCACATATGAGCAAAGCGCTTGCTAGGCTGCTTAAAATTCCCATCAGATGCACACACACACACACACACACACACAATCTCAACACCGTTCCTCCACCTGTTCTGAGGACTCGTTCCAGGCGGTCAGGGGTCCTCGGTGTGGGTCTTCGTGCCTGTCGAGGGGAGCGGGTACTGGGTGTGGAGGCCGGCGAGTTGGGCTCTGGAGGGAGGTCTGGAGGAGGATAACCCCTTTGTACCAACACCTCAGCCGCACACAGCAGACAGACACTGTGCTGGCACGGCAGAAGGATGGGCTGCTTCACCATCTCATCACAAACCGGGCAATGCAGCTCCTGTTCCATGCTCTTCATGTTGGACTAGAGAGGAGAGGAGAGGAGAGGAGAGGAGAGGAGGAACTGAATGAGGAGTCAGATTCGGTAACTCTTAGTCACTAGACTAAATAGAGAACCCAGTGCTCTTTACATTCTGCACCTCCTCTGACCTGAAAAGAAACGTATATGATATGTGTGGGAGTAAAAAGCGAGAAGGGGAGCTGCAGCAGACACGAATAACGTAGGCTGATGTTGGACATACAGAGCACAGGGAGGGCAAATCTGGAGGAAAAAATAGCTTTGCCCTGACTTCAGTTGTTAGCCAGTCTCTAGCATGAAAAATGCAGATAGAACTAGTGAACTCTGGCACAGGATACCATGGTTTGGTAACTTAGTAGGAGATATTTATCCAAGAGGGAGAGAAACATTTTCAAATCAATAAAATAAATATAGCTCTCGGTTTTTTCTGCTCAGATTGTAGCTGCGGGCCTCGGTTTAACACAAGTGTTACTGATTGAGAGGCCCAGTTCCAGTGTTGCAGGTAGCTACTAAACGCAGCATCCCGTTTCTATGACAACGCGCATCATCTCTGCCTTCTCATCTTGTGCGGCCCGTAAGGAAGCTTTTCGCTACTGCTAGCCGACATATTTTGGCAATCACACGTCAAACACACACTGCTTCATCTGCTACAACGTTTGGGATTTGGTGTATATGCTATTTGTGGCTCTGATTTTATGTTTCCACCAACAGATGCTATAGCTTTGCTGAAAACCTCTCTTTAATCCTAAAGATGCCCCCCCCCCCCAAAAAAACCCCAAATGTTCAAAAGCAGAGAAATGCCTCAAATTCCTTCAGCACATCCGCAACCTGTGCACTCAGATGGGTCGAGAGGAAATTAAAATTGTGATTAAATATGAAGGCGGAGGACAAAAGATAATCGGTGATAGCCTATCTCGTTAAATATTCACACGTGGTTGAAATAAATAGCGTAATAAAAAAAGCGTCATACTTACACTAATGCGAACCAACGCGTCCATGATAGAGGTAAAGGTTTGTAACTCCGCTTCTGCCATGCCTCCACGATGCAAGCGACACAACGACTAAACCCTTCTTTCTTTTTTTTATTATTCTTCTGGGGGAAGCCAGGGACAGGCTGTCTGTCGTACTGAGGGAAAACAACCGTGGGCCTGGACTGGTGGAACCGCTACAACAGATTTTCTGTCGGATGGTTTCTGTGCTTGGTGCGTGCTGTTGCGCACACACCGATCCTGTGCTCTGTCTGAAGCACAGAGTCGAGTCGTTGTAGAAATGTGATGGGAGGGGAGAAGGAGAGGAGGGGGGGGATCTGAAGGGTCTGGTTTAGGATATATCACAGCCGCATTGCCCAAGGAATGATTTACATGTTACATTGTTATGTTAAAATGGCTACTATTTTACAGCAAAAGATATTTTAATATATTGCATATGTATATTGCACATTTGACGATGTAAAACCACCCTGCCTGGTGTCAACACGATAGTCCTATAATAACGGTTATAATAAGCAGTGTACTTATGTGTAAATATGTGTGAAGTGCATATTTCCTTACGAGCCTGAATAAGCAGCAGCTCAGTCTCTCAAAATAAACCTCTTGGTTGTTATCCAGTAGCCTAAAATCCTAATCATAATATCCCAAATTGTTTATTTATGGCCTAGTTTTAGTGTTGCCGTTAGATGGCAGTGCTGTGTAAGAAAAAAATAAATAAACACGAACGGTCCTCTCTCAATTGTCTTCCGTGTCCGGAACCTTTGGTCCGTTGGTCGTTGGTGAAACCGGACTGTGATTAAGAAAGCACCGAGTGGAAGTTGCTGTTGTCGGTTGTTGTAGCTTAGCAACCGTCTTACGGCGCGACGTAGTAATAGTAAATATTAATAATTGAAGTCGCAATATCGTCCATAAAATCAGTTCCTCTAACGTTTAACGTCGAGCGGTGCTGTTTGTGTCCGCCGGAGATAAAGACTGCAGCTCCATGCTAACCGAACATTGTGTTTAAGTTTACTGTCGGATAAAGTAAATAGTTACTGTTAGCTTAGCATGTCGGCTGTGAGCAGCCTTGTTCCTGCGCGGTTCTTGACCATCATAGCTCACCTTGTCATCGTTATCACCATATTTTGGTCGCGGGTAAGTAAAGACAGATTCAAGCCGTTGTGATAAGTTAAGATTAAGTTCGTTTTAAGATACAACAGCACGGTTCCTCAAGTCTTTTAATGCTGTTTGTTTCACAGGAAAACAACGTGAAGGCGTGCTTGCCTTTGGATTTCACACAAGAGCAGTATGACAGTGAAGACAGAAAGTAAGAAATCATTTGACACACACACACACACACACACACACACAGAGAGAGAGAGAGAGAGAGAGAGAGAGAGAGAGAGAGAGTATGAAAACGTCTGACAAATGCATACCCACCCATACACTGATATAAGTTATCTCTCTCTGTCTCAGGTTGGTGGTGGCGTTGGCGGTCACCCTCGGTCTGTTTGCTATAGAGTTGGCCGGGTTCTTCTCAGGAGTGTCCATGTTCAACTGCAGCCAGGGTCTCCTGTGTATCCTTTACACTCACACTGTGGTCTCTCGTTGATGATGATTGATTTATGTACTGACAAACAGACACTAATATCTAGTGGAGGTCAACAGTACATATATATATATATTAATCTTTGAAATTATATTCCATTGAGTGCCCTGGTAGTGTATGCCCCAAGACCACAACGTCCCCAGTTCAATTCCAGCCGAGGCCCTCTGAAGCCTGTTATATCCGTCTCTTCCCCTTTGTTTCCTGTCTGACACTTCACTACCAACTGTTCGATAAAGGCAAATGTACCAAAAGTATAATCTTCTTGAAAAAAAAGTCCCACAAAGAAAAAAATAAGACAGAAAGTGCAATGGCATCTGCCTCCTGGGCAAAAAATGGATCGGTGGACATTTGATTTGATTTGATTTTGGTCAACACAAGCCAGGAAATTTTTGATTACCCATCTAAATATAAAGATGTGATATTAAAAAGTAATTCTAGTCTTCAGTTACAATTCCATGACTCCAAACTCCTGCTTACTCGCCTCTTCGCCTACTATATAGCGACTGGAGTCCATGCCAGTGCCTCAGTGGCTCTGCTTTTCTTTCTGTTTGAGCAGTGGGAATGTGACATCTACTGGTGGATCCTTGCCATTTGCAGGTTAGTGTATGTGCTTAAAGGACCAGTGTGTAGGATTTAGTGACATCTAGCGGTGTGGTGCAATACCCTCGCCTCACCCTCCCATTCCAAGCAGGTAGGAATAACTAAAAAAAAAAAAAAACCTGTGACCCTAAATAATGCGTAAATAGAGTTAGTGTGGTGGTCCAACATCAGGGCCTCTATGGAAGTGGACCTGCTCCCTCTGTAGATTTAAAAAACAGCTCCTTCTAAGTTAACAAACACAACAATTCTTATTTTCAGGTGATTATACACTAATGGAAACATACCAATTAATATTATATTCCATTTCTGCCAATAGTTGCCCCTAAATGTTACACACTGGACCTTTTAATATTGTGTGTTTATTCTTCCAAAAGTGTTTTTTTCCTGACTGATATTGCACCCAGCACTGGCTGTACACTGCAGCGCATCTGTATCCTTGTCTTTCTTTGTGTTTGAGAAGTGGGAGTGCTGGACATATTGGGTTATGTTTGCCATCTGCAGGTTGGTGTGTTTGTGTGTGTGCATTCAAACAATGAATTATCAGTTAGTGTGAAGTGTGAATACATGTAATAATGTACTGCACTCTGTTTTCAATACTTCTCCCAACATTTTCTTTTTTCTTTCTGTCTCTCCCGCTAGTGTGCTACCTGCTTTTGTGGAGATCCTTCTGTTCATAGCTGTTTTTGGACTGAAGAAGAAGCCATTATGAAAAACAGTCCTGATGTGACACCAACTCTAATTTGTAATTTGATGTGAAATCCTACAGCTTCGTCTCAATGTATCAGCAGATACTGTGGCCACAGAAGGTCGGTGAGTCATTAATGATGTAAGGCGAAATCAACTGAAAAGCAGTGCTTGACTGACTTTTGTGCATACACTGCAACAACAAACCTCAAGAAAACAACAAGCGAATATAGAAGTCTGTCCGCAATGTGTTTTATATATTTGTATATATTTTGAATGAATAGTTTAGAAAGGCAGTGTTCGAGAATGTGTAACTTTCTTTAACTTTGTCAAGAAATAATTTGTCAGTAAACAAGTTTTTGTGTTCTCTCAATCAGTCTGTCAAATTTCAGTGGAAAATCTTCAAATAAATACATTTTGTACAACTTCTTTCTTAAGCTTTTGGTGGTTGTCTATTCTATTTGCTCTGAACCTTTTTTGTCACTTGAGTCTATTTTTGCCTCCCAGGTTCATCTTTTTCACAGTACATGCCGTATATAGACTCCACCTTCTTCACCCAGATTAACAGACTCTTCCATACACATCCATGGTCCTAATCCCAAGTCCATTCAAGCATTTGAGTGGTGGATCTTGTGGGATAATACAGAGCCTTTTTTGAGTGGCAGGGGCAAAGAAAGTGAGCAGAACAGTATGTTACATTTGAATAAGGAATTATTGGTGTAAACAAAGACACAAAAACAGCAAAGAAAACATTAAATGAAGACGATAATGCCAATAAACTTAGTTACTGTACAGGCTTTTTTATTACTACTGATTTAATGGTTTAATATACAGTTCAGGTTTGTCATAAAAAACCATCTCTAGATGAAAATACTTTATGATATAAAAAGAAGGCTTCACTTAATTCTAAATTGTCAGAGTAGAAACAGTTTTGACGGAGTAACTTCTAACATTAGGTAAGGTGATGACCTCCTTTTGGGAAAATAAACAGAATAATCTATATTTCTTATAATGTGTAAATCCACAAAAGCATAATATATATTTCCCATTAGGGTAGCTGTAACAGGAAAACTGAAATAAGAGACAAAGTTACCACAAGATTATAGTTTATTCAGATTACACATAATAACATCTTCATCTAACCAACACCAAAGGTCCTCTGCTTCCTGTATTTATGGCCCCGCCCACTGGTCCCACCTGTCATTTGGACCGGGTGGTGAGGTTTTTAGTTCCTAGAGCCGGAGACAATTAGCTGTCTCAACGAAGTTAAAGCTAATTCACCTCTGTTTAACTCCAAGGACTCTTATTTAACATTGAATCATGGGTATGTTTTGCACGATTAATTTCTCATTCAAGTAATCTTACTAAGCACGTCTGTATTTGCATAGATATTGTAAGACACTAGCGTCTATGGTCGAGCTAGCTAGCTAGCTAAGGCAAACGTTCAGATTTCTCTTGACGACAGAAACCAGCACAGCAGTCATTTTTAAAAATTTGTTTAAAACAGCAAAGAAATACACTGTGGTGTAGTTTCATTACACTATGCATGTAGACGGTAACATTAACTGGATATTTTTGTCGCTGGTTAAAGGGTTGTTTAGCTTAAAGCTAGCAGCAATGTGTCGGAAACGTTTATGAACGAACACTGACGTGGCGTTACGTTATAAAGAGACTACATGTTTGAACTGGACCTTTTTAAGCAGATATATCCCTAAATTGACGATATTGTAACTTAAATAATGATGCTGGGCAGCAGAAAGTCTTTCCAACACTTGGCTCTCACTATCTGTAGAAACCCCTGAAATGAAGCTTTAGCTGAAATGAAGTAGATTAAGAGTTATTGTTGTACTGTACTGCAGTCTACGTCTTATGTCGCACCTAAAGTGGTGTTTATATTAAATACCTTTTTTATTTCTGATCAAGTCAAGCAGATGAGATGTGTTTGAAAGGCTTTATACAATAAATCTGACTTCCTTTGCCTTGCAGCGGTGAACACGGGCACCTCTCTAGTGCTATCCAGTCTGCTGTCAGTGCTGGTATTTGCTGGGATGCAGATGTTCAGTAAGCAGCTGGGATCTACTGAGTGGCTCACCATCCTGGGAGGTTTCCTGGGCTCAGTCCTCTTCATCTGCTCCCTCACTGTATCCTGTTTGTGACAGCATGGATTGAACTGCCTCAATCCACGTTGCTCATCATTAATCTACAGTATTATTTAGTGTAACATGTGTTATTCAATGTAGCTTTTGGTTAGTGTATATGCTATGCTGCTGATGTCTTTTGTGTACAGATCCTCCAGAAAAATGCAAAAAATGTTCTGCTTAGCTTACTTGTGTGCATGTAAATGTACAGACCACACTGAAGAGGGTTCCACCTTAACCTTTATTTCCAGGCATTTAATAATCTGGAAAATCTGATTTTTGGGAAGGGATTCCAAGCCAAGATATTCCCAGAGAGTAAGTGGTCACAGCACTGACAGCAAACTCATGCAATCTGTGTCTGTTTTGTTTGCTTACAAGCCCACATTGTCAGCGTTTTGATATATATTCCAGCTCTGTCCTCACTCGTATTTATCATCCTCTCAATTTCCAGTTCTGTTGTGCCTGTGCCTGTCACTGTTTGCCTCTGGTCTGGTACACCGAGTCTGTGTCACCACATGGTATGTTACCTCTGCATACTACAGATCCCTACTTCAACACAGTTAAAAGTAGTCTCTGAACATATTTTATTAAGAAAGTTTTCTTTCTTGTTTCATGTTCCAGCCTGATATTCTCCCTCTTCGCGCTGTACTACATCAACAAAGTATCTGCCGCTCTCTACCAAGCAGCTGTTCCCGCAGTAACACCAGCCAAGGCTGCCAGCAAGGGCAAGAGGAAGAACTGATAAATCTTTTGGATCCCACTTGCATCCAGTTAATCAGTCAATATTATCCAGGTGTCGATGGCCAGTGCAACACAGCAGTTGCATATTTTGTCACAATAATTTCTAACTCGAAGTCATGATCCTTGGTGTATTTCCTCAGGCTTTTAATAAAATGGTTTGGGAATATTACTCAGAAAGTAATAATCAGTTCAGTGACTACAAGTTTGTAACCTTTATAATGACATTGTTATTTCTTTACAGTGATCTTGAATTTGAATCATGGAGAAATGTCCCCGCTATATGTAAGGCCATAAAAAAAAGCTAAACAGTTATGTACATTCCACTGATAACCTTTTCCTAAGCACTCTTTTTTTACACTGGTTGCAACGAGATTCATACATCCCATCATGTTATTTGTGTATTCATCGGCACATCAAGTTGCTTTTTTGTTTAATTCATTTTGTAATTAAACACTATAAAAGACTTGTGTTGGTGTTTTTTTTATTTTTTATTTGGTGAAACAAATTTTATCCAGTTGGCACACATCATCATGTTTGTTCAGAAAGGTCTGGTAGTATCCTAAAAGTGTGACTGTTTAGGAAAAGGCAGGGGAGGGTTGCTAACCATAGCTTATTTCCCTTTGTGTTCCACCAACTGGTCGAAATGCCTGTGACGTAACTAAATCGTGGCTGCCTCATGGTTGTCAGAAGTAGAGTGGTTGATGACTAACCCAGGTGTGTGAATGTGTGCTGGGATGTAAGTTACATGAACGTCTTACGAGGATAAATAGATTTAGACCAAATGTATAATTTTAAATGCACACAGATTTTAAGTCTTTAAATGTTTTTTTTGAGATTGTTGACAGGTATTGTTAAAAGATGATAATTGTGTGAGAGTTTAAGACCACCTCTGAGGATGGGAACATGGAAGTAGACAGACCGCTTCAAAGAGGGGTGTGTGATGGTTATAATCTTGTCAAGGTGACACACTTAAATGTGGATGAGGAAGGTAAAATCACTGAGTTGCCCATGAGCAAGGTTTTAACTCCCAACAGTTTTCGAGAGGAGCTGCTGAGTGGCCAACAGATCAGGTTGCTGTATTGGGCAGCTTCCAGGTGTGACTGTGTCCGCATGAACAGGGCGTTTCTCACAGAAAGGGAAACGTCCTTAGATAAATAAAGGCTTGGGAAATGATGTTTAACTGTCTACCTCTATCAAACTGTTAATGGGGCCTGGGAAAGTATGAAATTAGACAGATTAGAATGTAAAATTATTTCCTTTTTATGTCAAATATATCCAGGAGAGACAGATGTAAAGAAGAAGCCACCAGAGCCTAAAAGACAAAATATGTTACCAAAAGATCTTGACTCAGGTCCAGGCTTGTCCATAGACAGCATGTCCCAGTGTTACTCAACGGCTTTGTGTCACTTTTCTGGGCTGTTGCCACTATGATGATGTGATAATGATTCATATTAGAACAACACCTTTGCAAGACATGGAGGTTGGAACTGGGCATTTCTTCCTAGAGATGACATCATGTTAAAACTTTAGAGGACAAAGCTTTTGAACAGCTATGAAAATGAAAGTTTCAAATTTAAAGCTATGACTTCATCATCTCTGTATCTTGCAGCGTCAGTTTCGTGGGAAAACATGGGCAGGGAGTGTGTTGGTGCATTATTTTATCCCCTATGTTATTTGCTCTCCTCCCTCTCTCTCTCTCCATGCTACTGTCTTCCTATCCCCCCCTCTCCCACCCATCCTTTTGGGCGTTGCCTAGCAGACTATAAATTCTTGAATAAACTTTCAGTGAGCCCATGCCCTCTTCACCGATCATCTCAATCTAAAGTTTTTGCCTCCTTTGTGTCCTGGTAAGTTCATTACAATTATTTTAACACTCTTTAACACTCACAACTCTGTTTCCGCTTCTGTCACGCACTCTTTTTTTTTTTTTTTTAAGTTGCGCGAGTTCAGATTGGAGACGGATCTTTTATTATGAAGACTGATGATTATTCGCCTCAGCTGCTATATGTAGTTAGAGGCATGTGGGCTAGATGCATAAGCTGCCCTTTTCCAGAGTTAAGGTTTTTTCTGTATTCAACATTTTTTCTTGACAGCAAGCGCTTTCTCTTCCTTGGGTGGGCTTGGGTGTTGTTTGCGCATTACGCAGCAGGAATGTCCACCACCGACAAGTAGCGGCTGGTCTTCCGTTATCTTTCCCTTACATTCTTCTTTGTCTTTAGTCTCTGAACATCTGTTTCTTTTTTTAAAGTCATCATAATACCGAATATGGTAAATAGAAGGGGAAAGCAGAGGGAGCATCGAGATAAGGAGTTTAGTTCATGTGCCAGAAAATAGTGTCTAATAGCCAAAGAATTTGCTTTGAGTGCCAGTAAACCAACACCCACTTCCTCATTTAACAATATGTTAGTTTTGGATGAAGAAGTCTCAGTGGTGGAGGTACTCAGATCTTTAACTTAGGTGAAAGTAACAATAGGCTAACACAGTGCAGAAATACTAAAAAAGTGTTATATATTTTTTATTAATTAGTTTGTTTTAATAATTTATTTGCAAAGTCAAAATATATACTTAAAGTACCAAAAGTACGATGCTCTATTTCAGAGCAATACGCATATATATTATTACATTATAATAACTGATGCATTAATATATATGACTGTATATTACAGTACATTCATGTATCTGTATGTAAAAATATGATTCTGCACAATAACTTACAACAGCTGTGAGATAAGTGAAGACTTGTGTGTCCTTCTTTCAGCACCTGCTTCTGCAACCATGACTGAGTTGGAGAAATGCATGGAGTCCATGATTCAAATTTTCCATCACTATGCCGTTGAAGACGGTGATGGGAAGACCTTAAGCAAGAAGGAGCTGAAAAAACTAGTTGAGACTGAGTTACCCACCTTCCTGAAAGTAAGCATTGTCTGACTTCTATTAAATCTAATCTCTATCCTGAGTGTATATGATGTACCATCAATAAAATGAATGAATACATAAATACATTTCAGAAAAATACACATATATAGAATAATACATATTAATAATACTTATTTTGCACCCTGAACTTGACGCTCTCTGATGCTCTTTTAGGCTCAGAAGAACCCCAAAATTGTGGACTGCATTTTGAAAGATTTGGACCAAAACAAAGATGATAAGTTGGACTTTGAAGAGTTTATTCCCCTTGTTACTGGTCTCTCAATGGCCTGCGAGAAGTGTTACTGCCTCTATCAAAAGAAGGGCAAGAAGTGAAAATGAACCTATGAAAGTAATGATGTTTTTTTTTTGAGAATTCTGTAGCACAGATGTGTGCCATATTGATAAGTAAAAGCCACCTTTGACAAGATTTCACATTCTGTTTGTCTGTTTACTGTGCAAAATGTATTTTCTTGTTCTTGGGGAAGCTTTCCACTGGTTACCTTTGGTTTTATACGCTCTTTCTTGTACAAGTGTTGGGAAGAGTTCTGCCTATGCTAGAAAAATACCTCAGAAAGTGCGGAGAATATTGATCTGCACATCTGAAACACATAATTTCACCCAAAAATACTCCTTGAATTGAGGCAGCAGTTTTTAAACAGTATCTAAATGATTCAATATGGGAATGTGCTGATATCAGATGAGACCTGAACTTGGGTGGAGCACACATGCCTGCATGTCAAGAGTTCAGGAGTTAGAGATTCAGCTTATGCCAAATAAACATGCTCATAAGTGCATACAAGATTTGGTGTGGTTTAAAAAGCTTATGGTTTTTGGAGATGATGTTTCTCTCATGGCCATCTTCCAGTTTATAACAAATTACGCATGTGTTTTCAACTTATACTGCACATTCTTCTGTTATCTCACAAATGTGGCATTGGCAGGCTTTTTATTCCAAGCCTGAACATCCCTGAAAGGAGGACATGCACCAAGTAACCAACATGGAATTACACAGATGTTAGCAGGGTAAAAGTAAAAGAAGGATAAAGTTCTGTCAAAATTAGGTGATGGACCAATAATCGACAAATAAGTAAATTTTTGGGAGATATTGAAATACAGCAAGTAACCCTTGGTTTTTAATGTTTAAGGAAATATTTTTTCAGAGCCCTTTTTTAGGGCAACATTTTGACTTTTAATAGTAAAAGAAGCATTGGTGTTAACTAATAACATTCATGACAGTGTGAAAAATGGAAGAGTATTAAATCCAAGCAACTAAATGGAATTCAGCCATCATTAGTATCATTCATATTTACTGTGACAAACATGCAGTCCATCAGTGAAATTATTGAAATTATTGAAATTATTATCAATTAGGACCAGTGTGTAGGATGTAGTGGAATCTAGCAGTGTAGTTACAGATTGCAACTCCTTCGCTTGAAGAGTTACTTAAAAAAAAAACCTAATGATTCCTATTATTATATTCCATTTCTGCCAATAGAGCCTCCTACATGTTATACACTGGACCTTTAAACACTTGCAGCAAGTAAATAAATATGAGCGCACCACAGGTCAGCTGGTGAGTTAATTCAATTGCCAGTGACAACAGAGCATTGCCTTCTTGACAAATAAGAGGCAAACATCAACGGCAATCCCAGTTATAGGCTGCCAATTCACCTTCACTAAAAGAAAACAGTGCCAAATATTACTCAAGTCAACATTATTTTTAAAATGATAAGTTGTTCTCGCCATACGTTTAGCAAGTAATTGCTTTGAGATTTTGAAAATGAATGGTGGTCACAATATGCCACAATAAGGCTTTATTGAATAAGACTTTCAATATCAAAAAGTAACACCTAAATAAAAAAAACGTTCTTGTAAAGGCGGTAGTTGCCGCTGTCAGCCTTTAACAAGTACTGAAGATAGCAAGGGTGCCCGTTTTGTTTCAGCAGTGGGTGGGTCAGGGCATCCTTCCCCAGGAATTCTGAGCATCAAATGTGTAATTTTCTGCATTCTGGTGATTTTTACACCGATTTGTTCAAGATTCAAGATTCAAGAGGTTTATTATCATATGTACAGTAAGAAACACAAGGTTTGTATGTACAATGAAAATCTTACTTTGCCCGACTCCCTGAGGCAACACACAAGTAGAAGAGTAAGAATATAAAAATTAAAAAATATATTTTTTTTTAATATAAAATATAACTAAAATAGACATATAATATAAAAACTTACAGCTTAAAGTGCAGAACATTGTACAGTAAACAAAGAAAGAAACCTGAGTTGAATAAGGTGCTCTGTGCCTCACAGTTACACTTCAGGTGCCCTTTTTTGCATCAATGTGTGATACAGCAAGATTTCTGCTGATTTGGTCATGTAAGCAGGAGGACATGTACTGTCTTCAATTCACCACTGGATGTCATGAAACTCTTGAAAACCATTTAGACAGTCTAGCGGTTTACACAGGGCTCGCCCTCTTTCATCTCTCCAGTTTCCATCACTGAGTGCGGAAAAACACTGTTATAAAAGTGAAAGTTGGTTTCAGTGAGGGTG